ATGTATCTAATATGTAGTATATTATTTTAATACAATTCTCTTAATAGGTTTGCAAGCTGTGAACAACCTATCAGCCAATACATATTTTTATAATCAATTTAATTTATAGATTTTTCTCTTGTTTTTGTTCTATATATAATACAGCTGACATTCATAGAATACCAGAAGGTATATTATAGATTTTTAGATTATTCACTATTTGCTTAATAAGAATAACATGTCAACGTCCTTATTTAGACGAAATGTACATGTCATAACATATGCATATATTTTAAGACTGATTTGAAGTTTTAAACCCTAATCTCAATCTTCCTAATTGTCTTTCATATTAAAACACATCAAATGGGTCAATACAAATATTTTAACATGTTTACTTACAAAAGACAACTCTCTGTCCATCCTCCAGAAGAACGAGGTAGGAGTTCTGGAAACCTGTGTTCGGAGGATGCTCCGTCTGGCTCACAAATAATCTATTTAGTTTAACAATTTAACAGATATTTTAGTTTATAAAGCACCATTCTTGTAAATGTGTAAAAGACTGAAATCAATAACTAACCTATTAATTACTTAATTAGTATTCTATCTACAACTTCAGTGAATGATGAAACACTACTTCATTGCTTGTAATTCTGATTGTGTCAGAAAATAAGAAGACAATAAGAATCACATTTCCAGCATGTGATGTAACATTTCACAAAACTAGATTCATTAATTCATAACTTGTGATAACTGTGAGTCCCGCAGAGAATCAGTTTTCCTCCTTGAAAACAGGGGATTTAAGATTTTGTGAAAGATTTACAGTTTGTATCATGTGTGGATGAAACTGTTTCAATTATATTGTTGACTTTGATCTTGTCTGGAGTCTGAATCACCTTCCTACACAAACCTTAAATTGCTAGAGTATTACTTGAAATTTGAGGCAAGCCTGTGATTTGGAGGGCAAGATTGACTTAGACAAAGCCATGACTTGAGACAAAACTGGCTTACACAAGATAAACCTATGACATCAGCGAAAACTGGCTTTAACAAGATTGGCTTGATAAGAGGCAAGAATGGCTTTCATGAGACAATGACTTGAGGTAAAAACTGGTTTAAACGAGATGGTGACTTGAGGCAAGACTAACTTTGATAAGCCTATGACTTCAGGCAAAACAGGCTTTAACAAGATTGGCTTGATAAGAGGCAAGAATGGCTTTCATGAGACAATGACTTGAGGCAAAAACTGGTTTAAACAAGATGGTGACTTAAGGCAAGACTGACTTAGACAAGACCATGACTTGAGGCAAAACTGACTTAAACAAAATGGTGAATTGAGGCAAGACAGACTTTGATAAGACTATGACTTGAGGCAAAAATAGGCTTAAACAAGAATGTGACTTAAGGTAAGACTGACTTAGACAAGACTATGACTTGAGGCAAAACTGGGTTAAACAAGATGGTGACTTGAGGCAAGAATGACTTAACCAAGACTATGACTTTAGGCAAAACTGGCTTTTACAAGATGGTGACTCGAGGCAAGACTGACTTTGATAAGACTATGACTTGAGGCAAAAACTGGTTTAAACAAGATGGTGACTTAGACAAGACCATGCATGACTTGAGGCAAAATTGACTTAAACAAAATGGTGAATTGAGGCAAAACAGACTTTGATAAGACTATGACTTGAGGCAAAAATAGGCTTAAACAAGAATGTGACTTAAGGTAAGACTGACTTAGACGAGACTATGACTTGAGGCAAAACTGACTTAAACAAGACTACATGACTTGAGGCAAGAATGAATTAACCAAGACTGTGACTTGAGGCAAGATAATGAATTAAATGCAAGACAAGGACTTCAGGCAAGACTTATAGTAAATCTAGGCAAGACTATAAATTGGTTCAAAACATAACCTGAGGTAATCTTAAGACTTGTTTTCTTTTGACTAGAGGCATAGGCGTATACCTCTTGCAAAAATATACAGAACTCCACTTTATTATTTGCTGATAAAAACAGAATCTCAAATATTTGCTGGACGTATTTCTCAAAGCCTTATAAATAAGAATAGGAAATTTCCCAGGGCTGACAAGATTTGATACATAAATTGACCTAAATGTACATTAACATGACAACACCAGATTTCTGGAATGTATTTACCATCATTTGCGTGGCAACCAAGTAGCAACAAATGGTTGCTAGGTACAACACATGGTTGCTAGGTTAGAAACGTGAAATAAAACATAAGTGAAGACTTGAAGTCAAGTGTATCAAATAAACCTCTCTCCAAGAGATCAAAAGTCATAACCAAGAACTGCAAAAAATAATTTACAAGTAAAAATATTTGAACTAGATAGATATTAGCACTGTTCTTGAAAATGTCTATTATTTGACTGAGGAGTGTGGGTCAAGTGATCTTTCCCAGTAAACATGATTGTAGGAGGGTACAACTAAAAAAGATGTAAACCCACAGGTGGCCTTAGCTGTTAGGCATCTGTAAACCACTTGACTCTGAGCAAATAGCTTCATATCTTTGAGTACTTCACAAGAAGAAAGTCTGTCAATTTCTATTTACTCTCTCCAACATCTCATTAAGGGTAAGCTAATTAAAGTTCAGTCTTGTTGGTTTAAAGGCTCAGGAGCATGTAGGTATGTAAGCACAAGTGCCAATAGGAAAGGACCAAAAATTGTACAGAAAATGTAGCAAGAAAATGATGTAAAGAAAACAAACCCCCACTATCCCAAACTTTAATCTAGCATTAAAGGAAATGATGTCCAATGCCCCCTCCCCTACCATACAAGTTATATTATCAAAATCCAGGACCATAACACCAAGGGACATTTCATTATAAACCATTACAATATATGTTGAAGAATAAATATAAATTAATAAACCAAAACTCATAACATCAAAAATAGTTGTAGATACTATTATCTTGTATTCATACAAGATGTGGGGCAGACAAAATCCAGTCTCAATAGACATATCGGAGGGTCAACATCCACCAGCAAACCTGATGCCATAATCCACAAAACACAACATTTCATTATTGATATGGTCATCAGGAGAAAACTTAATGGCTGGTTTCAATCCCTATTTCTCAACCATTAATGCCATAGCCATAAAGTATGTTTTATGTGTGTTGCCTCTTGTGCGTTATCATAGTTATTTAGCATCAAGTTTATCTATCTGGGATGTTTGCCATGGAACTTTATATTTTAGGAAAAGTGGAAAGTAGAAAGCTGCTAAATTAAAGTTCCACATTATAAGGTACATTCAAGTTTGGCTTGGCCTTATATATCTTTCGTTGAAGTAGCTCACTTGGTTAAGTATATGAGGAACATCAATCTGTCAGGAAGTTTTGAGATTAAGTATATCTAACTGGGACAGATTAATCTAATCATCAGAGATGACCAAAAACAATAATACACATGTAATACTTATCTTTGTAACATCCTGTGTGTACCTAAAGGATATCCTATGATTCTAAGTGATATCATTTTTATCCACAAGTTGATTTCAATATCTGGATGAGTGAGCATTGAGAATAAGTGCCGATATTGAAATCAATGAGTGGATTAAAATGATATCACAAAAATTCACAAACATATACTGTTTCTGGAGTTCTCTATGATTTAAGGATTGTTACACTAAGTCTATACCTACTTTTAGACTTTTTCTGTTATTAGAAGCAGCAAAAACAACTAACGGTTGAGTCAACCTTTTAGATTCACAAAATCTATAGTTTTTGATAAATCATTTCAATATAGCACGACACTCTCTTCATTAATCTATCAATTTATGAGGCACCATAGATTCATAAATATAGGAATCACTATAATGGATGCTTGAAATATAATGCATGATAAGATTTCTTTACAACATCAGCTTGTACCTCAATGTTCCCTTTACATATTCAAAGGAACATAATACAGACATGTACCCTTTGCATTCGTTTGACTTCACTTCTTAAAAGAGAGCTTCGTCTTCACTCTTTCAAACTAAAATAAACCTGTGAACTCACCGCGCCAATCAGTGTTCGTCGGCCAAATTTGACCGACGTTCTATATAAGGCCATTCCTTCTGACGTCACCGTTGAGCCCGGAATTGACCAATGCCATGCGCATATTTAATTAGAACGCATTTGGCGTATGTTTATTTATGTGTGATTTATTACCCAAACTGTCAACAGTACCAATCGTGGGGCGGGGCTACTAAACTGCAATATGGTCTCTACTAGGCAGAGTGTAGTTTAACTAGACTCTGCACGCAGGGTAACAGACATGCAATAAATGGATCCGAAATACCTGATAAAACTCATTAAATGATAAGTGAAAATATAGTTGATCGGGGCAATTTTATTCAACCCTCTCCTCAACCTACACATCTGCTTATAATAAATATAATAAAAATGATACCCATCAAAATGGATATTTCATGACTGTATGAACATAGTTGATCAAAATGAACTTTTTATTGTATCTGGTATCTATCAAATGGTGGTTCCATTTACAGAAGAATCAATAAACCCAAGGTAAGTAACTTTGGGGCAGATGCATAGAATTAATTTTATTTCAATTTGTTATAGAGACATATAGAGATACAGGTCAGAGATTGTCTAATCTGTTTCTTCTTAAAAACATTTATCACCAACTTATTTGAGGAACAATTTCTTTGAAAAATGTACCTGATCTATAAAATGATATTTGCATAATCAAGCTCTTGAAACAGCCCTAAACAAATCACAATCATATTCCCATTTAGACAAAAATGATTCTATGTTACTGTAGAATTTTGAGTAAAGAGGGAACAGCCTCGAAATGCACTTATCCATACAGATCACATATGTCTGCTCTAAAGGTTAATATTCAGACAACTGAATGAACAACACAGAATGAGAACTATTTACAAACGATTTGTATTGTTTTTTAAAGTAGAGTGAAAAAGCACTAAAACGATACAAATCAGCATCATGTAAATAGTTCTCTGTGGGATGAACTAAAAGTCAAAACTATAAAATTACCTTGACTATGTTGAATATCTGCTTATGTCTGCCTTTTATCTGCTATATCCAATATTGATGGTTATAGTTTCAGTTTCTCTGCTTGGCCATGTGGATTCTGTTATCTCAGATTTGCTTCCTAACTCTCACTATCTGTCACTATCTCCTACCTCTCAGCAGAGTTCTCTCTAGTTATGTCAGCAAATATGTAATTCTGCAAGATCAGATGTTACCTGAAAAGATAGTGACATGTTTGTGGTTTCATGTGCAAGATACACTCAGAGAGGCATAACAGAGGAATACAGAGAAAAGACATGGACGTTTTACCTTTTACATGTGGTTCAAGCGTTTCAAAAACTTTAATTGTGAAAAATCTGAGAAATCAAGTAAAGTAGTTTAACAGTTTGCACGGGTAAGCATTCACTTAGAGATATGATGTGATCCAGGCTCCAAAAATGTATATACACTGTAACATGTATATTGAGTGCCAGGTCATGAACAAGACTTGGGTAACCTTTTAGTCTGTATACTGGTTTAACCAGTGTGTATAATTCCTTTCAGACATGCCTTGATGGATTGATCAATAATATCAGTATGATGTCCTTCTCCTACAAAACCAGCTTAACTCTTACTTCTCATCTACATGCCTAACTATTGATACTTCCCGAAATCCATTTCTGTTGAAGAAGGGGGACGGGGGGGGGGGGGGTTAAAATATAAGTGATACAAAAAAGTCAGGAATATTAATTTTTCTCAATTCCAGTTAAATCAAAACTCGAGAATTGTTTCAAACGTTACAAGAGTTGATGATACTGGCACCAAAATACATGTTAGTCACCAGATATAACTTCCAACATGGAAAATCTTAATTTTGTTATTTAATGATTCATTCGAGAACAAGTTTAGCAGCTTAGTCCATTCTACATCAATGATCAATAATGAATTTCTAATGGACTAGAGCACTTATGTTGGCTAATTCTCAAAACTGAAAGATACTCTCTCTATTCTATTTCACCCTATATCAAAGTTCATCATTTTCGTGATTTTTGCTTATTTTCATAATAATCTTTCTTATCTCCTATTTTTGTTCTACCTGTATGATCATAGAAAATGACAAGATGACCATGTAATGCTGATAGCATATGACATTGATGTAAACTCTCTGGAGGGAAACTATCTCATGTCTAGTCAATACATTTGATATTAGGACTGATTTATCTTACTTATACAGCCCCTTGAAAAGCCTCAAAATCATGGCATCTTTTATGCATTCTTTCATTCATTTTCTGGAGGCAATGTACAAGACTGCTGCCTTGAGGGAAGCTGTTTAGTGTCTAGATGATACATCAGTTGTTATGACAGAATTATCTTGTAAGAAGCCTCATGTCAAACTGACCAAAATAGATGATACCACAAAATATCTCAAGACCCAAATGATAAAATTCCCCGATTGATACCAGCATTTTTTCAGAATCTTGCTGCCTTATAAAAAAGAACAGAGAAGAATAAATATTCAAACTCATGTTTTGAATAAGATACATTAGATAATATATTCGATTTTAAAGAGAAAATGGTGAAATTTGCATATAATGGGTTATTTGAGATAGGTTTATTGGATGGGATGTTATTGAATCTAGTAAAGCTTTATTTATAAATTTCCTCTTTCATCATCATCTAGAAGCTAATCAGGATCAGTAACGGATGATTTGTATCAATATATCAGATAATTTTAATATCAAATATATTTCATGATATTGAAGTGTTTAAAAGATCAAGAGAATCGTTTCTATTATTTTCTACATTTTTCAATCGTTTGATTTCCCTTCTTTAAAAGAGAGCTTCAGCTGCTTCATCTTCTGTTTTTTACGGACAATCTGATTTTGCTCCTCATAATATTTAAAAAATAATAACCATCGAATAAATTTTCATGAAATATCATATTTTGTATATTGGTGTTGCATGGTTGGTTGGTCTGTTATGAGGAGATGTAAGGCTCGAGGTAGGGCTGGCACGGAACGGAATCGGAACGGATTTCGGAACTTGGCTTCGGAATTCGGAACTTTCGGAATTTCGGACCTTATTAAAAATAGTTCCTACTTCTCCCCTTAAGTTCTCATTTTTGTCACCATTGTAACAGCAGTGTACAACTACATATATATAAGTTGTATTATGTTTATTAAATACAAACACTAACACTATCTAACTGCCAGAACAAGTGGCATAAATGTTCAAAACTAATGGCAAAATGTTAATGTCCTTGCCTTCTTGGCATCTTGGCACACAACTGTTACTGTCTTTCTTTCAATAATAATCTTTTCTTATAGGTACAGTATATATAAAACAATCATACTTTATTTATTTCTATCATTTATTACATATAAAACATCTTTACCAAGTGAAAATGTTTAATAATTATACATATCTATTGATTTCGTTTCATAATAATAGTTCGCTATAGCGAGTTAGCGTGTCGGTATAACGATAAGTGAATGTTCTTTAAGGAAATAAAAGTTCCGAAATTTATCGGAATATGAGAAGGTATGTCCGAAATTCCGTTTCCGAAGGCAAAATCGGACGGTTCGGACAATAATTCCGTTCCGTGCCAGCCCTAGCTCGAGGACATAGGTGGAAAGCCAGCCACAATAAATACATGACAATTGTATATAAACTATGTTTGATAATAAGACAAGGATGGTACTTAAAATAGTTCAATATTATCTTCAACTGAAGGCTGGGTTTATTTTGACAATGTATGTATCTGAATGACAGTTCAAAATCCAACAATCCAACTGAACATGAACATTGGTAGTCAAAAACTGAAATTCTCAAATAAGATAAGCAAGGTTGACGAATATACTGAAGGATACCAACCTTCGCCTTGGATTAAATATTTCAATTTGCAACCTACTTTTTGAAATAAATGATGTCTATTTTTTTACATGTTTAATCCAGATGATCATAAATCAAACTGTTTATTTTGTTAAATGACCTTAGTCCAGGCTTCATAATTCATATATTATTAAGTTTTTTTACAATTATTTTCTCATGGTAAAAACAAACCTTGAAGACTCAAGAGCTTATGATGTAATCCCCATTCACTTAGCAACACGATTATTTGTAACTATGACATATAAGTTAATTCCTCTAATCTTAATAGAGTGAGGTCATATATGATCAGTATTATCTAACCTTTTGATAAGAGTATATTAAAACAACAATTTTGTGATTCATTATTTAAACTTAACTGTATAACTCAGCAATAATTTTTATTTCATCAACATGATTCTTTTCTTTTGATATGACATTGCATGTTGAAAAATTAACAGTAAAAAACCACAGTAAATCAACCAAATGAAGACCTTTATTAAAATCCTTTCATGCTTCAAATCGGAAACTGTATTTCAACACATTCTTCATGTTTTCAATATTTACTATAAAAGTATATACAGCCAGGGCCATTACAGGTGATTTCATATGTAAAGAAATAGGTTAATGTATTTAAGTATTTAGTGGCGTATCTTTGCTTCACGAGGCACAACTTGGCAACATACAGGACTGGCTGCTGAAGGAAATTAGGCCAAAATAGAATTATAAGTCAATGACCTTTGTATATAAAGCAGAAAGTTAAATATTATCAGGGAAATATAACAACATCTTGAATTGATTGTTTAATCAATAAAAACATGATATAAATTTAAGAATGAATAATTGCTGAATAAATTGATTCTGTAGAACCAGAAATGATTACACATCCTGTTATCAGATAATAGAAAAAGGTTGTCCTTTTTAAAATAGCACTCAGATTATAAGTTCATGCCATATCCTGTTAGACCATAAATCAGCATGAATACAAAGCAGCTTTTCAAAATTCATATAAAAACATGTCAGCTTTTGTATGTTCTGCTAAGTATATGTTGTAATCATAATTTCACTTCAACCCTATTATCAGAATGTGGTAGTTCAATGAAAGTGATAGGAGGGATGCCGATTGTATTTGAAATTAGATGGATTTGATCAAAAACCTCCCCCTTCCCTATTTTGAAACAAGAGTGCGCTGAAACTCAATTTAAAGATTTGGTTACAGTAAAACATATAATAAATATAGTAAATCCTCTTTATATCATTAAACTTCAAAATGTGACAACATGGCTCCTTGTTGTTTAGTTGGAACTTGATGAGACTACAGTGATATACCACCAGCCCTGTTAGCCTAACACAAGAGCAGTGTTACAAATACCAGATCAAACATCTCTACAGTTTATATAAAATTTATGAACATTCATGGATAGCAAAACTCTCTAATTGATCCTTTGAGACCAAGACCATCACTCAAAATGGATTGGATTTATAGATTATACACATGTGTTATTATATCATTCATAACTGAGGGGATTTAACACAGCAGGTGTGAGACACTGTTTTCACTTAATTAACAATTAGCCAATTACTCCATTTACAAATTATGAATAACCAGGGAGTTACATTTGTTATGACCTAATCAAATAATCAATAAGATAATCTGTTAAACACACAATCAGATTTTGTACATCCTGCTTTCTATAAAATAGTATTTCAAAAAGAACAAAAGGCTGTGACCACCTGGTTGCAGAAACAAATGTAACAAATGTAACAATGGCTACAGATGCAGGATAGTGTCACAAAATCATTGACTAAACAAAACAATGTCACTACGTTCTATAAGTATAATGTCCAAGCAATTTCAAGCCCCGGCTCAGAGCTTTAGCGATGGCTGACATTACGTCTCTTGCGTACCACCTTCGTTTGCGCAAATTCTAACCAGTTAATTTTCGAACATAGCGCGTCGTCGTGATGTTTTAATCGATGTAAACAGATTCCTTACATATTTCTCTATCTTGATGTGAAAAACCAGGATATTATATTGGTTAATACGCCAGGAATCAACGTAATATTATTCGAAGCGTTATTAGAAAATTTTGAATCCGCCATTTTTGTTTATCGATTTGGACCAATCAGAGGTGTATGACATGCGATACCGCGCAGAGGATTTTAATTTTCAAAATTAGTCCCAAATTTTTGACACAAATCTCCTAATTACTCATGAAATACCAAATTACTTCACTAAAAACGTAGCGGAGTGATTTCGGAGCATTCGAAGATAGGGTAGGTGCATAGTTTATCGCAGTTTGCTGCTGCGTCATTATAAATATAGGTACGCGTAATGGCCATGATATCATCATGGCCATTGGGAAAGGCTAACTCTCACTGACTCGACTCTGGACTTCTCAACAAAAAATATTGAATAATTTTTGTACTCACCTTTCTACCACTCTCTAGACTATATTCAGGGCATATGCATATATCTATTGTCTTAATTAGTTGTATTGCATACTTATTCTAATATTTGTTCATTTTTGGATCTTATTCTTCCTCAAACTCACTTAAATATTTCGATTTTATTCCCTTTCAAAAAACGAACATCTCCAGACAAACACAAAACTCAGTGACATCATCAAAATGAGTGCACATAATCCATAAATCTTAAATTTGATAAATCTTGACGGCAAACGAAATTACGAAAATGGCGGGACCTCCGAAAAAGAGAAAAATTGACATTTCTTCACATTTCAAGGATAATCTGGTTCATATTTTGCCCAAAAAGATCCCAAACTGGCACTATCAACTCTTGATTAAAAATATGACATCCAAGGGAGTACCCTTTGTACAAAACTACAGGTAAACTTCTTTCAATGTGAAAATGAAATTATTTTTTACAGAAAAAATTTAATCTAGGCTACAGGTGGATTTGCTGAAGTGAGAATTTCCCATGTTAAAAATAAGAGAATTTTCAAGAGGCCATACATCAGTGGATGAGATTATACAAAATGTGAAATATACAAATTTTAAGGGATATGTATCTACAATATTGGAAATTATGGGCTTTCAGACGACCATAATTAGGAAATGGTGATCGAAAATCGACCTGTCATTTATTTTTGTCCCCAACTGTAGCTTTGTGTAGTTGTAGAAGGCTTTAGCATTTGTTGATTTTTAAAATTTGGATCCAAATTTTAAAAATCAACAAATGCTAAAGCCTTATCCCATTCCCGGACTATGGTCCTGTACGGAGCCCATACATTTGCCTGTACGATTACAACATGGGAGAATTTTTTACTGATCTTACACTTCAGATACCTACTTCAATAGATTCCTTGGTAATTTAGCATTCTTTTCGTGTAGTTGAATCCACAATTGTCTGGGTTTATCGGCAGAACGAAGACATTTTCGTTTTTGATCGCAATATTTGCGTGTAACATTTAACCTTTTTCAACCGTCAAATTCCTCCATATTGGTACTTCCGGGCTACATCCGGGACAGCCAAACGGGGGATTCCCCGTTTAAATCCAACCGCCATTTTGAAAAGTGATGGAATCTCTCTCGATGAAAAAGAGAAAATGTTCTCGTTCTACCGATATACCCAGACAATCGGCGGTTCCAATATATTAGAAGTTACATCTTGAGTTCTATAATGCATTGAGGTAGGTATCTTAAGTGTAAGGGGCGTAGATAATTCTCCCAAGTTGTAATCGTACAGGCAAATGAATGCGATCAGTGCAGGACTATAGTCCGGGAACGGGATAAGCTAAAGCCTTCTACAAGGCTATGAAAAAATGAGACCCTATCTGTTGCAAGACTAACGCCTGGGCCAGGCGTACCAGATGGTTGCAAATTTGCTCCAAATACAACCAAATTTCACAATTTTCCTGAGGGAGAACCCCCAGACCCCCCTGAATGCTGGTTTTTTGATTCACTCAACTCTTGTTCCTGTGGTGGTGGCGTACTACTTAGAGCTAGAAAAGTAGCACTACGCCCATGTTGGCGTAACCGTCAACATGTTATTCAGTGTTTTTAGTAGCGCAAGGATCCTGCCATGACCGTGGTAATGTTATCGTGAAAGCCTGGTATAACCGCGACAATGCTGTATTATATTGCCTGCCATGACTGTGACAATGTAATATAGTTCTGCAAAGCTTGGCATGACCGTGACAATGTAATATAGTACTGCAAGGCCTGGCATGACCGTGACAATGTAATATCCGTAGTTCTGCAAGGCTTGGCATGACCTAGCAATGTAATATAGTACTGCACGGCCTGGCATGACCGTTACTGTAGTTCTGCAAGGCCTGGCATGACCGTGACAATGCTATATCTGCAAGGCCTCGCATGACCGTGACAATGTAATATAGTATTGCAAGGCCAGGTATGAGGGTGGTAACGCCAGTTTTTTTGCGTGACAAATAATGTCACGCAAATACGCATTTTACTTGTCAAGCAAAAAAATTTCAGTAGAAAAATTTCTAAAAAAGTTCGCCGATACAGGAAAAATACAAACGCCGAAAAAAAACGTATGCATTCTGTTCGGACTTTTCAGGCGGATCGCGTACATGTCACGCATTCCATTCAAAAATTTTCGTACCTGACTAGAAGTCCATGTTGTAGCCTACCAGTTGCAACTTGCAGGGCTGTCAACTTGGGACCATCTAACATGAGTGACTTACAAATGTCGAACACCTTCCTTCACATTTTGGACACCTAACTGGACACTGGTCAATATAGGACACCTAAAAATTTCGGATTTTTACCGTATCGGCATTTCATAGAAAAAGATTTTTAAAAATATCAACATAATGCGTGATTTGCGTGATATTTGATCATATATGCTAAATTGATGCATGATTTCTATTTTTCCAGCAAATGCGTGACAATCACGCCTAATGCCCTAGAGTTGACAGGACTGCAGTTGGAAGAAACAGGTGACACCATAAACGGATGACACTATAAAGGGATGACACTAAATTGAACTTTACACACCGAATGTTATGATATTTTGTTTACAGGTGATCTACAGGTCGCATGTACCTATTGTCGCTACCAAGACTGCCCCATTAGCCCATCCACAGGTGCAAATATTTTCGAAAAACAAATGTGTGATATATACACATATTTTGGACCAAATGCGTGACAAAATGGTAACTGCTTCCCTGTGACAGATTTTGCACTAAGATCTTCATCTTTCTATTTCTACTTGTTTCTGATTATTGTCAAGCCAAATATTTCTTGAGAAGAACATAAAAAACAAATGCCGAAACATCAAAAAATGGACAGATGGCATTATACATGTAATGGAGTTCATGAACGCTAGTGAAGTGAGCGCAAAAATTCGAGTTGTCCAAAGTTTGCAAGGCAAATCCTGGAAACCTGGGTTCAGGAAAGCAGGGTTAACTGTTTGTTTCCTTTGACACCTGTGCGAAACTACATTCATAATTCATAGGTGTAGCCAGGGGGGTGTGATGGTTACGATCGCACCCCCTCCCCCATAACCAATAAAAATAGAATCATGTGAGAGAAGAAGAAAAGAGCTTAAAATGCTTTTTATTTAAAGCTTCTAGCTCAATTTTGAAGGAAGTTGCATCAATTTTTGTAAAATTCAAAATATCTTATTTTTTGGCTTGCACCCCTCCCCCCTGACTGAAAACCGAATTTTTTCTGGCAATTGCAAAGCTAGAAGACCCCTCATACTCATCCATTCTCTATTTTGACTAAGATAAAATATCAATACAACAACTACTAAAACAAAGATTAACCAGTAGAGATTAGGAATGTGAAACATATTTATTTTCATTCATAAATATAGAATCCCATATCTTTTGCTAGACTAATTCAAAAATTTGACCTATTGATGCATTTTTGTTAATCAAGACAACTGAATTTCAAGTCAGTTGCATGTATAAAAACTTTCTTTCTTCAATGATTTCCACAAAATAGCCTCAGTAACCATGTCATTTCATCTATACATGTAGTAATGTCTGTGTGTTCCAGCCCTGATGTTACCCACATAGTAACTTCCTATGACAATGTGGATCAAGTGAAGAAGGCTATGAATATAACTGAGGATGAAATAACATGCCACATTGTTAAACTTGAATGGTTGACACACAGTCTTGGAGAAGGAAAGCCAGTTGAAATTACAAACCAGTATAAACTACTTTCAGTTCCCAAAAAGGTATGTGCAGTTGATAGTCATGACTTCATCTGGTTATATTATCATCAGTGGTCTGCTTTACTTTACTTACTACAGTGAAGCAAAAGAGGAGGGAAAACCCCATGATTCAATTGATGACATACGATTTCTATAGTTAAACCAATCAGCGACGATGTCATCTCAATACAAATTTACATTATAAGCGTATGTCATCTTTGAACCGAGGGGTTTCTCCCCCTCTTGTTAAGCAAGTTTGTTGATTGTTTTTAGCATTTAACATCAATGTTGGAGTTGTTTGACTCTATTTCAAGTTTTTGACAATTTCACCGGGTTGAGAAAACCAGTAAATTAGGCCAGGCCTATCTTTTATGATTTTTTTAAATGAGTGCCTATTTTATAGAATCATGAACCTGAGGTTACTGACAGTAATTATAAACAGACAAAGTTGAATTGTTTCCAAGTGGATCCATACTGTTGCCAAAGAAGGACCCCTCTTCAACACCATAACAAACTTCTTACGGTAAATCCCAAATTAGATTAATAATTTTTCTATTTTGCGATTTCATCAAAGCGTTCACAAACTTAATTTTGTTTGAGGATAGGAGGGAGGTGCTCATTTTTATGCTTTGTTTTGCTATAGTAACATTTATTTTCTGACTTCAGTTTAGCGACCTGAAAATCAATGTTATTTATGGAGGTCATAAATAATTCAAATTCCACATTAAACTTTTCCATGCTCATTAACTATGATATTACCATATATAGAAAATCTTCCATGTTTCAACGGCAAACTCTGAATGGCTCTATAAGTTTAGAGTTATTGTAAACTGAAAGAGTGAAGACAAGGTTCTCTTAAAAAGAGACGTTGAATGAATGCAAAGGTTATTATTAACACAGTAATATTGAGTAATCTATGAACAAGTGAGATTTGTCCCTTTAGTTTAAGAGTTTAGAAACCATACATATTAACATATAACATGTTTCTACTTCTTCCAGGATGCATTTGAGATTTTAGAGGAGAATGCAGAATACATAGAATCATCTAATGATACTAAAGGTTATTCTCGTAATCTAGCATACCGACGTGTATTGGCTGTTCTACGCTCACTCCCTCAGGCTGTCACATCTGTTAAACAAATTAAAGATGTAAAACATATTGGAGGACATTCTCAAAAAATTATTCAGGTAAGATACAAATTTATTTCAGTCCAACGGAGAATGGGTGAATTGGATACCCTAGGATTCTCAATTGACCCCAATTTTATAGTTTGATAAAAGGAATACACTAAGTCATGATTGTGTAATACAGTAAAACCTGTCTAAGTTGAACTCCTTTGGTACCTCTAAAAAGTGTTCCACTTGTGAGTTGTTCAACTTGCAGAGGTCTTGGGACTCTGAAAAGTGTTCAACTAACAGAGGTGTTCCACTTCTAGAGGTGTTCCACTTCACAGGTTTCACTGTATTATTTGAATGGTCTATCAAAATGAGGAATAATGATTAATTCATAAGACACATAAGACAGAAATAAGGAACACTAGAAATTATCTCAGATTAAAGACCCCAAACAATGTATTAAAAGGACTAAAGAAACATAAAGATATGGAAAATTCAAGAACCCCAGATAGACTCTCTTCCATTTGATTGTGACATGCAGAATAATTATTGACTTGCGAACATTCAAAATGATAATTTGATTTGAAATTGACATTTCAGGAGCTGCTAGAAGAGAAGTGCTGTCTAGAAGTTGAGGAAATAAAAAGGAGTGTCAGATACAACAAAATGAAGGTAAAAATGTGTGATTATATTTCATATTTTATTATTCATAGTTGAAATAAAGTTGTACAGTAGTTTACTTATACAAGTGTTTGATGTGTTCACTTGTATTTTGTATGTATTCACTTGTATTTTGTGTGATGTGTTCACTTGTATTTTGTATGTATTCACTGTATTTTGTGTGATGTGTTCACTTGTATTTTGTATGTATTCACTTGTATTTTGTGTGATGTGTTCGCTTGTATTTTGTGTGATGTGTTCACTTGTATTTTGTATGATGTGTTCACTTGTATTTTGTATGTATTCACTTGTATTTTGTATGATGTGTGCACTTGTATTTTGTATGTATTCACTTGTATTTTGTGTGATGTGTTCACTTGTATTTTGTATGTATTCACTTGTATTTTGTGTGATGTGTTCACTTGTATTTTGTATTTATTCACTTGTATTTTGTGTGATGTGTTCACTTGTATTTTGTGTGATGTGTTCACTTGTATTTTGTGTGATGTGTTCACTTGTATTTTGTGTGATGTGTTCACTTGTATTTTGTATTTATTCACTTGTATTTTGTTTGATGTGTTTGCTTGTATTTTGTTTGATGTGTTCACTTGTATTTAGTTTGATGCATTCACTTGTTCTTACATTTACTAAGCAATCAAATTACAGTTACTCATATATTGAACTGGCATAAAAGGCCATGGTATCTACTTTTTGGATCATTAAGATGTTATCAAACTGGATACAATTCAATTTGTCCTATTCACAAATTACCACAATTTGAAAATGACTTTTTATTTCAGTTGTTCACTGGTGTTTTTGGAGCAGGTGTGTCAACTGCCAGGAGGTGGTATGACACTGGAATGACATCACTGAATGATGTCATACAACACAATGAGGACAGATCAACTGCTCAGAAATATGGTAAGATATACGACTGATTTAGCTGATGATATTGGACATGACGGGTGTGATTAATGCCTAAGTCACATTTGCTCTATCGAGGGTGAACGGCGGATGTAGTTTCATAAAATTGATATAGAATTTTATGCTGCATATTTCTCTTAACTCTACGGCCACCCTACTGTTGTTGTAAATTAAATGTGACTGAGTCAAGCTAGTCATTAGAGAGGTCCTTTGGAATGTATTGTATGTTTGCAGATATTATGTTAATGCTGGAATGAGCTCCTTTAACATTACCTCCAAAGTTAATGTCATTTGTCAATTGATTGATTGATATTGCACATATCCATGTTCATGAAAACAGGGTAAAGACATGGAGTTGTTAGTAGAATATATATTTTTCCAGAACCAGAAGTTTTAAAATTGGTCCACAAGGGTCTAAAATGTTTTTCTAATCAATACAATGCATTGAGTCTGTGCAAAGCAAGGAAAATCTAGAATTTTTTGTTTTACCTGTAATTCTCATGGAATTTCTACAACCCCATCTACAACCTCCTGAAAAGGTTATAGGAAACCAGGTAGAACCAATTTCCAGAATCACATGAATAAACAAACTGACTGAAATTTTCAGGTTTGGCATTCTTTGATGATCTGAATATGCCAGTGTTGAAAGCAGAAGCTGAACAAGTGAAGTCAATTGTGAAAAATATCACAGAGAGTATTCTGCCTGGGGTGTCTGTAACAGTCACTGGAGGCTTCAGGAGGTAAGACATTCACAATAATCAAGAATTTATTTTTTATTTTAAAAGCTGTTTATATCAAACTTTTACCCTAAATTTTCTATATTTTGAAATGTTGGACAAGCATTTCAAACATTAGGGTATACTGAATAACAATAAGGCTACTACCTGCATTGTAACAATAACAACCAGAACCTTCTCCAGATGAAGTATAAATCATTTGAAATAAGCTTGAAGTAAAAAAAATGCAATTGTATCTTTGGAGCATTGTAACTACTGTAAGCACTGTTTTAAAGAATATGAACATTTAAAAATTATTTTTTGGGGGGACTGCTTTCTCTTTTGTGGCCTTAACTCACCCAAATGAGAAAAAAAGGTATAAAGGAAATACATGTAGTTGTAATTGGTCCCTGTATCATATCATTATCATGGAGACCCATTATATTACACATTTAAGTTCTCTTTAATATATCATTGTATAACCTAACCTCTCAACCGATTAGCCAACTTTGTTTCTTTGCTTTCTTGCAGGGGAAAAACTGTCGGACATGATATAGATCTATTAATATCCCACCCAAAGGAAGGTGCAGAGATCGGACTTTTGGGTAAAATCTTGGAAAAATTACAGCAACTGAATCTCATCCTTTACGGGTCACACAATAAATGTACATACTCAGAACGGCATTTTACTGAAGAACCACGGGATCCACCAACTAACAGTCAAATGGACCATTTTGAAAAATGGTTCGGAATAATAGGGCTTCCAAAAATATCAACCGAAAAAACTGTTCTAATTGCCGAAAATGATGCTAGTGATAAATCGATCAAAGATTTAGTAGATTTGTCAAAGTCAGAAAAATCATGGACAGCAAAACGAGTGGATTTGATCATAGTGCCATCTAGTCAATATTTTTATGGCCTCGTTGGATGGACCGGAAATAAGATGTTTAATCGTGACCTTAGGCTGTATGCACAGAAAGAGCTGAACATGCGTCTTTCGAGCCATGGACTCTATGACTTAACTAAAGTGAGGATATTTCTCATGAATAATCCAATGGATTTGAGGGTATAGTTTGATAAATATGGCATATTTGAAGTTTTTAAACAGCAAAGTTTACTAACAAACAAAATATTCAAGGCAATACCTACTGGTGGCAATTACTAAACTGCTATCTATAAATCCTCAAAACCATTGTTTTATCAAGAAAAAACTTTTACATCAGTAATGCCATGGACTTTCAACTCCACCCATGGTGATGCTTAATATGTTATATTCAAGCATTTTTAACAATGCATTTTTATATCAAAGAATACTAGGCCATATTTCTGTCACCTGTGAATGATTAAAGCTTAATTCTCAATTTCTAAAGCAAAATTGATAATGTTGGGCAACAGTTATTTTGTAGAAATGTGGGAAGAAAAATCTGCCATTCTCTATTTCATGAAAACTTTAAACCAAAGATTTGTTTTGTATTTGCAGGGGTGCTTACTAACTTCTAACAGTGAAGAAGAAGTCTTCAAATATCTCAAGCTGCCTGTTATACCACCAGAGCTTAGGAATTGTTGATAAACTATATTCATGTGCAATACAAAGGCATAACCATAGTGTTTGGATAATGTGCAAAATGAAACATTGATTGGAGATATTGTATTATCCCCAGAATTTTTTTCTAAAGTTGGTGCTAGTTTTCATAATTCTTCTCAAAGCTTGCCAAATAGTTTGCAGATGGTGCAAGCCCATTTTCAGAATTTCTAGTGGGTGCAAAACCCACTTGGTTCAATGCAGAGGAGGTCCCTGTCATATATTGGAATTATTGCAAGCCTCGAACTATCAACAACACTAAATGTGGCAACATGCTATATAAAGCACTATTACACATGGTGAGAGGAAAAGCCAGAAAAAGTTTACCTTCAACTTTGGTTGGAACCTCCTTTCCAAACATTGGACTTTAGATTACATTGTACATGTTTTTATAATTTTAAAGAGGGACATGGGGTATAAATAGGAGGCAGACAAATGGAATAGCCAAAATAACTATTTTTGATATTTTCACAAAGCTGGTCAATCTTCTCATATTTCATATTGATTGAGGTATTGATTCCAATTTTGTTATGTGTATCTTTCAATGTTTTTAAGTTCATATTCTGCAGTTAGATTTCAACTTCATCATTTTGTTGGATTGTGATAGGACATTTAAAAACACTAATAACATTTTTCAATTTTAAAAGTCTCCAAGCTTAGCCAATCAAAATCAAGTGTTTAGCAATGCTGTTAATTAAACTTACTAATCCTGATTATCTGTGCCATGTTAAAGTGTGGATGTAACCTGATATTTTAATGAGAGTTGCTAGCAACTTTAAAACCGGCCTTAGAGTGATTATAGTATAAGTGTACCTTCATATCATTTTTTGGAATTTTCTGAATTCGCCGATCTGCAAATTAAAACGGGAGCCAAATTTAGTGTATCTACAGTAATTGTAAATCTTGAAGTTTCCATACATATTTTAAATAGAGAAGAAAATTCTTGAAAATCAGGGGAACATTTTTATCAGACTGAAAGTATAATATTGTCATCATTTTGTGCTGATGGACATGTGTCTACGCTGGCGGGTCCCACAAACATCTTGCTTTAAATGGAATCATCAGTTTTGGTGTACCATATGTATTGAAACAGAACATTTGATTTATCATGGAAGATGGCTTTTACTTATATTGTTTATTACAATTACTACAAGGATGCCAATTCTTTGGCTGCCTTCTCTTTGTGTCCTTTAGATTGATGATGTTTAGACAGACTCCCCCTGTGTGTAAATGCAATATCACATGTTTTACACTTATATGGCTTATCACCAGTATGTATCCTCATATGTTCGCGTAAAATATACACAGTCCCAAAAGTCATGCCACAGTCTGTACATAGATGGGTCTTGTTGTGTTTAAGCTGAAGGTGTAATTGTAAAGCAGGCTTGGACTTGAGAAGTTTGTGACAGATATCGCATTTACTTTCTTCTCGATCGTGTACCCATGCCATATGGGCTCTTAAATCTTTAGGGGTAGTTTTCATCATGCCACATAAATCACATACAATATAACGAAATTTTTTTGGACGACTTTTAGCACATTTTGTATTGTTTAGGAAATGGCTTTTGAATAAATGTACATCAAAAAATTCAGTTTTACATGTACTGCATTTTGCCTGGACTTCCTTTGTGTGATATTTCTTTACATGGTAACCCATCACAGTAGAATTTCTGAAGACCTTTCCACAATATGGACAGGGGGTATCCTTTCTTTTATTAGCTGGTTGAACTTTTAAATTCATCTCCAAAGGAGAAACATTGTAATGCTTCCGTAGCACATGATATGTGTATTTGGCCTTGCTATCGAATTTGTCCCCACAAAGTTTACACTTCATGACTACCTTGTGAAGTTTATAAGAGTGACGTTTGAATTGTTGGAATCCGCTAAATTCTTCTGGACATCCCATACATTTGAACACCAGTTTGTCACTGTTGTTCACCACGAGTATACCATCTGCAAATAAATGAAAAAGAAAAAACTTTATACAGTGTATGTACGGACAAAATAAAGTGTATGGAAGATACACATGAAGTATAGTAAACACGAAAAAGCACAAAGTTAGAAAAAACAACAACCAAACCCATGATGAGATGCATAAATAAACAGTGTCACACATATATACAATTACATGTACGGTATATACATTTGCAATACACCATACTTCTACTTACTTTGCCTTCCATTTGTATTTCTTGATTGAGTTAAATGTTATCAATTTTTCTACCAATGGATCTCTGAGAAGGTACTAGGTCTACAGGAAATTTAAGTTTGCAAAAATGTTCATGTTTTTAGATCACAATGTTAATTTTAAAAGGGGTAGATATCGGACACACTTTTACCATCTCAAGAATCAAGGTAAAAAAGACAAAATTCTATAAATAGTTGATAGTTTATCCATACATTTTAAGAAAATGGGTATGTCAAAGAAGATGTTTAGCCACGTGTTGACCTGATAGCTCAGAAAAAGTAAAAATTTTCGAATTTTCTCTCTACAGGCCTTGTTGGACCTTTAACAAAATGATACGGCTACATTCTAACATGATCATTATAATGTTCTGCAGAAAGGTATATTAGTTTACCCCATGCAATAACTGGCAGGCTTTATTGTGTAAGACTCCAGAATATATAATAGACAGATAGAGTTATGGCTACATACTAATTAAATGAATCGATTATTACCATGGTAATGCAGGTTTCATTGTGTAAATCTCCAGTATATAGTATAGTAATGGCTACATAATTACTACATGATCATTATATGTTCTACAGAATGGCATTTTAGTTAAACCCCCATCCCATAACTAATAGCAGGTTTCATTGTGTAAATCTCCAGTATCTAGTATAGTAATGGCTACATAATAACTACATGATCATTATGTGTTCTACAGAATGGCATTTTAGTTAAACCCCCCTGCCACAACTAGCAGGTTTCATTGTTTAAATCTCCAGTATATAGTATAGTAATGGCTACATAATAACTACATGATCATTATGTGTTTTACAGAATGGTATTTTAGTTAAACCCCCATGCCACAACTAGCAGGTTTCATTGTGTAAATCTCAAGTACATATATGTGCATTTAGTATAGTAATGGCCACAATTCAATTTCATCCAATTTATTAATTAACTATACATAAATACAACAATATAAAAGATGATGTCTGATATATCATGGCTTTACATGGTTTATAACGATTACTGCAAAGATGCCAATTCTTTTGCTGCCTTCTCTTTGTGTCCTTTAGATTGATGATGTTTAGATAGACTCCCCCCGTGTGTAAATGCAATATCACATGTTTTACACTTAAATGGCTTATCCCCAGTATGTATCCTCATATGATTACGTAAAATATGCACAGTCCCAAAAGTCATCCCACAGTCTGTACATAGATGAGTTTTGTTGTGTTTTAGCTGATGATGTAATTCTAAAGCAGGTTTAGACTTGAGAAGTTTGTGACAGATATCGCATTTACTTTCTTCTCGATTGTGTACCCAAGCCATATGGCTTCTTAAAGCTTTCGGGGCACTTTTCATCATGCCACATAAATCACATACAATATAACGAAATTTTTTTGGACGACTTTTAGCACATTTTGTATTGTTTAGGAAATGGCTTTTAAATGAAACTACATCAAAAAATTCAGTTTTACATGTACTGCATGTTGCCTGGACTTCCTTTGTGTGACACTTCTTTACATGGTAACCCATCACAGTAGAATTTCTGAACACCCTTTCACAATATGAACAAGGAGTATCCTTTCTTTTATGAGCTGGCTGAACTTTAAAATTCATCTCTAAACGAGAAACATTATAATGCTTCCGTAGCACATGATATGTGTATTTGGCCTTGCTATCGAAGTTGTCCCCACAAAGTTTACACTTCATGACTGCCTTGTGAAGTTTATAAGAGTGTCGTTTGAATTGTTGAAATCCGCTAAATTCTTCTGGACATCCCATACATTTAAACACCAGTTTGTCACTGTTGTTCATCACGAGTATACCATCTGCAAATAAATGAAAAGGGAAAGCTTTTTATGCAGGGTATCTAGGGATAATAAAGTGTATAAAATAAAACACCAAGACGATTCCATGATGCAATGCCCACCTGACGTGGAAATAGTTCGACTCATTTTAAAGGAGCCAATTCTTATTCATATTTCCCACTGAATTTAGCTCTATAGAGATTGGTCAATATAATTTTTATCTCATGGTAATTTTGATTGACCTGTTCAGTGTTCACTGGCGGATCCAGTTTTATGATATCATCCGAGGATTTCCCAAAGTACTTTATATTTCGTTTGAAGCGTAGCCTCGATATTCTGGAGTAATATGTAATAAATTGTATTCAAACTAAGCCGACAAGGGGGGGGGGCAACTTTCAAATCAGAAAAAAAATTATCCACAAAAATCTTTTTTGGCCCCTTGTATAGTGTCGCAGATGTTGGGTGATCGGGTGATCTGGGGAGGCAGTGATTAAGGGGGAGTGAATCTAGGCACATTCTGCTTTGATTTATGATGTGTAGACTCCCACTGTGTGTAAATAAAATGCAATATCGCATGTTTTACAACACTTAAATGGCTTATCCCAAGTATGTATTCTCATATGATTACGTAAAATATGCACAGTCCCAAAAGTCATCCCACAGTCTGTACATAGATGGGTCTTGTTGTGTTTAAGCTGACAGTATAATTCTAAAGCAGCCACATTTTCTTTAAAAAATTGACATTCTTGTGGGATCTATGGCTTGAAGACCCATCTTGTTGGAAAATATAATGTTTTTATCAAGAAAATCTTATGAAATAGTGTCCCATTTTTGGACCACCCTGTTCCAATACACCCTACTTCTACATACTTTGGGGTGTTTCGTATTTGTTGAATGGGTAAAATCAAATGTCATCAATTTTTCACCAATAAATCCCTCAGGTAATTGAAGTCTGCTAAAATGTTCATGTTTTTATTTCACACGGATAATATTAAATGGGTTAGATAAGACACATTTACCCCCTCTTTAAGAAAATCAAAGAAAAAAAGATAAAATTCTATGGCATCAAAAATCATACTAGTTTTTCCAAAAAAGAAGTTCAGCAGTTTATTTAAGAGATGGAAATATAGTCAACAATAAGAACATTTTCTCTAACAGTTTTTATCTATTTGTACAATGAAACATTATAGTGTGGATTCATTTTCAAAATATAAAAATGATCAATGTTTGTTAAATATAAAATAAATAATCCTAAGAACATTGTGAACCCCATTCGTGTTTAAATATTAAATACAGAAAACTGATTTGTTGATTATTTTGATGCATTTTAAATTGTAGTCCAATATATAAAGCTGACTCTTGTGAAACTCAGAATAGGAAATTACATGTTTTCAGCCTGACTGAAACATTGCTGCATAAGAACATGCTTTAGGAATTGTTTCCCAATGTGTCCTTTAGATTACCTCAATCAAATGTAACTCATGGATAAAAATGGTATCCCTTAAAAATCATAGGACAACCTCTATATATCCTGTGTTTTGGGATATCATTTTTGTATTTTGATATCAGGATCAGATATTGTTATCAATGTGGGTAAAGTGATTTAAGATAAAAGTATAGGATCAAAGGATGTTCTATTTATCCCATGGTTCATCTATAATATCTAAAATGAGGCTTTCCCATTTTAGTTCATGAAATCACTATGAAACAATGCAGATCACAGTGTCATGCATTTTCAAATCCATGGACCAAATTGATATCAGGGGAAAATTTTCCATATTATATAGATATCCCTTTTCTAATCATTTGAAAAATAAAATACCATACTAGTAAATACAATGGATTTTATCATACACATTTGACCAATCAATGGAATAAATATGGGATATATACAGGTACATGCATTATAAAACAATATTCAAATGAGACCATTATACACCTTCAAATACATCAAGATGTTCTGTTCTTTAATGTTATTGTTCCCATAAAGAAGAATCTTTACTGAGTGTCATCAATGTTTTAAATTTTATTCACATAATTTTTGTGTACAAGTAATCTTATATAATGCTGTGATATATATTGCACCACTAGTATGAGTAATAATCATCAATGTTGTATAAGAATGATTAAAATCATTTCTTAAATTAATCGACATATTCTGCATTCTCAAATCATGTTCGAGTATACTGTAGTAATTTTTAACTTCACCTCATGTTAAAATATACTAGTACTGTATTTCTATTTAATTGGCACCCGTTTTAGGTTTAGGCTTTAATTTCGCCAATTCAAGTTGTGACATATCTCAGTACAAAAAATAATCCTGGGAATCCCCATTTTTTGTTTGGTGTATCCATTTCACGTTAGATAATGTCAGGTTCTGCCAGTAAATTGACCTGAACTGAAGTTTCATCCTGTCAAATTTGTAAACATATCTACTCAAAATTAGCCAAATAAAAATTCCTTCTGGTTTTTATTGTCAAAATTAGCCAAATTAAATCTCATTTGATTTTCTCTTATGTTTTTAAATCAACCAAATTAAATCCCAGCCCTTTCGAAAATTGTTAAGAAAATTAAATAGCGCCAAGATACAAGCAGAAGCACATTATCTACATTATTGTGAAAACTTCTATGCATATGCACAGTAGCATTGTCCTTTTCTTCTTTATCCAATATTGTTCCATGTGTTTCAGTTTATTACATATACTCAGCCTGGTTAAAATATGGCTGCATGGGAACTGAAGAAATTGTGGGAATTGCAATGGCTGCTTCGCTTTCATTTTCAGGATTTTTCTCCTCACTTTTCTCAATGTGTCCTTTAGATTGCCTATGTTTACATAAACTTCCACTGTGTGCAAATGACACATCACATAGTTCACATCTATAAGGTTTTTCACCCGTATGTATTCTAATGTGGCTTTTCAAAATTTTCTCTAACCCGAATGTTTTTCCACAATATGTGCATTGAAGTGATTTGTTATGGGAATTTCCAAAATGCAAGTCTAGTGATGCCTTAGAAGGGAGTATCTTATGACATACTGGACATTCACTATTTTGCTTGTTGTGAGCCCATTCAATATGCTTATTCAACGCTGCCTTATCTCTAAATATCTGACCACACACATCACATATATCATATATAAAATGTTTTGGGCAGCTGTCTGCGCATGCTGTATTATTGAGATAATGATGCTTATACGTACTCAAATGAACAAACCCCTTCTGACATGTGCCACATGTGTAAGCAACCTCTTTTAAATGAACCTTCGCAATGTGGTTATTCATATTCTTTTTCAAAAAGGGTTTATTGCAAATGGTACAATTAAATTCCTTTTTCTGTTTCTTAATCCCTTGCATGTCCGTGTTCGTATGAACATCAAGGAAATGATAGGTATATTCAGAAAAACGACTATGGTTATATTCACATAATTTACACTGAAATAGTTCAAGCTGATGCATGTCTCTTGAATGGTTTTTCAGTCTTGGCAAAACGGGGAATTCCTCTGGACAAACTGCACACCGAAAGACCAGCTTGCCGGCATTGTTCACGTAGAGTGTTCCATCTGGAAATAGAAAATCAAATGAGTATAGTTAAATATACAAATCTCAATGGCTCAATATACAAATTATATTTAAACCAGTATATGTGGTGTTATTTCACTAAAAGTGTTCCACTTGGGTGTTCCACTTCCAGAGGTGTTCCACTGTTCCACTTGATAGAGTTCATGACAGAAATATGGAGTCACTGCATTATCATTGGGTATGCATGACCACTTTTCAGAAATGCAAATAGAAAGATCTTTTAGTTTAACCCCTGTGTGCTATTTTTCAAATTGTTACATGTTCATGGTCACGTGTAATTTGATTGATTTTGGGTGAGGTCACATATAAACTTTAAGTGCCACTTTAAAATTAACCACAAAAAAAGAATTTCATTTTATGATTATTTATTTGATGAAAACTGAAGACAAAACAGTTATTCCAGGGTAATCCAAAAAATGAACCCTTGCAACAAGCTAAAATCAGTTATTACCTGGATAACTCTACTATACCTAACCCCTAAAAATGCATAAGATACTCTGTTTGTCTAATTGTATTGTTTAGCATATTTTTGAAAATACCTTATTAACATCTAACAGTCATCCGATAAACCATTAATAAGGAACAGACAAATAGAAACAAATAGCATAATCATTACTAATAAGCCAAATGGGTTGCTCATGAACAGCAAATGCAAGGTATAGTAGAGTGGATTAATGGGGTAATATTCTCCCACATTTTTAAGGAAGGTCTAAAGATTTTGTGGGTACCATTAAGGTCACTCAGTCTTAAATCTTGCAGAAGTTACATGGCATCAACAGACATGCCTGATTATTAATGAAGCGCTTAATCCATGCTCCATGGTTCTGGATAACTGCTCCAACACGAATGTTGAAGTTGTTCACTGCCCAAAAAACTTTAGAAGCAACTTTATTTTTACTTTAAAATAAAGAAAAATGCATTAAAAAAACAAAATACCACTATATATGCTGGTTTGATAGTTTATTAGAAAATGACACACCACATTTAAGCATTTTAACCATTTAAAGTATACATCTTTGATAAAATATACCAATGTATGACTTAATGAATACATTGGTTTAACAGAATGGATATTCTGGCAATAACAAAAAGGGTTTGTAGGGAAAACGATATAATTTTGTAATGAGACTGATCATCTATTGAAAAGTTCACAATGAAAATGACCTCACTATAATCTTTATACAAATGGATGTACTACAGAATATTTTAATTTAACCGTCATTCACTTAATTGTCAGGTTTCATTGCGTAAACTCCAATAGTATACATTACATGCATATATATAAGGGTTATGTACTGGGATGTTTCAGATATGTGGTTTATCCAGTTGAGAGGGAATAATCATAAATGCATATATCCCAAGGGGATAAACTCAATACTGGAAGTGGGAAGATATGCCCGGTGGAGGGAGATATAGAGGTTCTGGATATGGAAACCTCAAAGTCAAGATACAGGATATACCTTACCATCTCCCTACTGGACATAGGATAAATACTATATATATACAGTACTAAAGTGATGGCTACATACTAACTACACAACCATTTTATGTTCTATAAAAGAATCATTTAGTTGATCACCTCACCATGCTCTTTATACTTGTCAGGTTTCATTATGTAAATTCCCAGTATAGTAATGGCTACATAATTACTACATATATTTTAGTAATAACTATCAGGTTTCATTGGGTAAATTGTAAATTGTATAGTAAGGCTACATAATAACTACATGATAATCATCTTTTCTGCAGAAGGATATATAGTTAAGTCTTATATGCCATCCTTCATATGCTAACTAGTTGAGTTCTGTCTCTGATAATCAATTTGTACTACAATCTGTCTGCTCAAAATATGGCTCCATAGGGACTTTTTCTTTAACTTGATCTTTTTCACCAATTTTCTCCATATGTGCTTTAGATTGTCGATGTTTACATAAAGGTCCACTGTGGCCGAATGAAAGACCACATGGTTCACATTTATAAGGCTTTTCACCTGTATGTATTCTCACATGATCTTTTAACAATTTGGCATTTCCAAAACCCTTTCCACAATAGGAGCAGATGTTGGTTTTAATGTGGGATACTTTGTGATGGAGGTCCAGCGATACTTTAGATGGGAGTATTTTATGACATAATGAACATTCACTTTTTTCCATACTATGTTTCCATTTGATATGGCGATTTAAAGGTCCCTGGTTTGAAAATATCTCTCCACATATATCGCATATGTGACCTTTAAAATCTTTAGGACAACTTGCTGCACATTCTGAATTAAGGATAAAATGACGGAAATATGTCTGCTGATATACAAATTCTTTCTTACATGTGCCACATTTGTACGCAGGCTCCTTTAAATGACTCTGTGAGATATGACACTTCAACATGTACGGTTTCAGAAAGGATTTGTCACAAATTGAACATTTATGCTTCTTTAATTTTTCTTGCATTCCCTGCCAATCTAAGTCAGTGTGTATCCTCAGATAATGGTTTGTATACATCCTAAACTCCTTACTATGATAACCACACAGTTGACACTGAAACACTTCAATTTGATGCATATCTCTGGAATGGGTTTTCAGATGCAGCAAGGCAGGGAATTCACTTGGGCACAGTGTGCACTTATAAACCGGCAAACCCTCATTGTTTATTACTAGTATTCCATCTGAAAATAGAAATCAAGACCCATTTAATGATATGTTGTCTTATCTACTTTATCTATGACTAGATCGGTATTCAGTAAAATCTGTAAGGTAAAACACCTCTATAAGGAACACCTTTTTTGATTGAACACTGACACACTGACTAATGTCAAACAATTCTCTGTGAACAATTTCCCGTTGAATAAAGAGAATTCTACTTATACGGGTCTTACTGAACATGCATTAGTAAAAATAGTTATTCTAAAGTCCAGTTCAATAGAATCCTATTCTTTAATCAAACCTGTATTCAGAAAATATTCATCAACATATACTAATGGGAATGGCACTGTTAATGTATCATACACCAACAGTGTGCAGTGCTCTCCCCACATTGAAATCTCTGAGGCGCCGCACCTACATGCATTCTGTAAAAGCAAAATACCACTCAATGCAATTAGATGTGCCTCCTAAAATGTTACAATAAAAAATAAACAAAATCATAAAATATTGCACAAAAAGGTACAAAAATCATAAAATGTTGCACAATAAGTTACAAAATGGTAAAATGTTGCACTAAAAAAAATCCTCCACACAAAAATTCCTGGGGAGAGTACTGGTGTGGGCGCTATCACCCTGGGGCAAATCTGGGAGATTCCTTGATTTTTGCACCATGTATAGTAGTGCATCACTATATTGGATTTTGGACCTTTTAAATACTGATAATAGAAGTCAACTCCATAGAAATCAATCAGCTTCATTTTCAAAGTGTACCATAGACTATCCATTCTTCCAAGACTGAGCTACATGCATTGTTTTGCACATATAAATAAAAGAATTACTAAATAGGTGAATTCTGATACTCATAGCATCTTTCTGTTTCACCTGGGCTGAGAAGAAATGAGATGTCATGGTTTATCATGATGATATAGGTGACTGAAGTAGTAACATTGGCCGGGCTAGTATTTAGTAAATCATACATTTCATAGATATCAACACTCATTTGCTTCACTCACTCATGTTTACATTTGATATCAGCTCGTCAATAAAAATGATATCACTCAAAATAATCTGATATTATTTATATTATGAAATATAACAAAACGTAATACTAGTATGTTAACTTCCTAATCTCATTAAAAACCAGAATTCAAAGGGTATAATACGCTATATTAGCAAAGCCCTTATTGAATACGTTCTGTTTGTGCAAATTGTGCATTTCATTTATCTTTGTATATTGTATCAACCATAAAAACAAATGAGTGAAATGGTGAATTATGAAAAAACTGATGAGAAGTATTTCTGCAATGGCTACTGATCACCTGATTTACTGATCACTTCTTATTGCCAGGCTTCATGTTTTCAATTTATTTTATTGTCTATTTGAATCATGAAGTCACTTCAGTAGAGTTCAGTATATCATAGTGGTAATCATGGTCATGGTTTGCCCCTTGGCCATTATTTTTCCATCTCTAAGATTCAATGTTTATCCATTACATATTTTATTCAATGAAAACTGAAGACTAGATTTATGGTTTTGATTTATAATTATAAATGTGCAAAAAATAATTAAATACAAACTGAACTATGTTATTACAATTATAAAAATATATTCATTTACTAAAATTCAAATGGTGGTCTTGTGAAACATTAAGAACAAGTGAAGACAATAAACTACAGGTCATAAACATTAATACTTTTAATGTTATTAATAATTCTCTTGTGTTGTTTGATAATCACTATTTGTCACATTTTCTACCATTACTATATTTCCTGGAATTGTCTTGCCACATTTCTCAATGTGTCCTTTAGATTGTTTATGTTTACACAAACTACCACTCTGCGCAAATGACACATCACAAAATTCACATCTATAAGGTTTTTCACCTGTATGTATTCTAATATGCTCCTTTAACCCTCTTAGCCAACCAAATCCTATTCCACAATATGTGCAAATGTGAGTTTTGTTGTGACATCTTACAACATGGTCAATCAAAGCAGCCTCAGAAGGATATGTTTTATGGCATGTTGCACACTCGCTTTTCACCATGCTATGCTTCCTTTTGATATGGTGTTTAAGGGAGGACTGATTTGCACACATATAACCGCATATATCACATACGGTACCTTTGAAATCCCTAGGACAGCTACTTTCACACTTTGAGTTATTAACAAAATGCTGACGATATGTTTGATTATACACAAAACTCTTCTGACATGTTCCACATTTGTAAGCAGCCTCTTTTAAATGACTCTTTGTGACGTGCTGTTTCAAAAGATAAGGTTTTCCGAAGGATCTCCCGCAATACATACAATCATGCTTTTCTGACCCATACTGCATTTTCTGCCAGTCTAAATCTGTATGGTTTCTTATGTAATGATTTGTATATCTTCCAAATGCCTTATTGTGATATCCACATAGTTTACACTGAAACAGTTCAATTTGATGCACATCTCTACAATGGATTTTCAGATTCAGCATTGTGCGGAATTCACTGGGACACATTGCACACTTATATACCAATTGGTTACCCACTTTGTTTACTATAAGTATTTCATCTGAAAGTAGAAAGGAAGATGTATTAAAGTTAAGCTGTCTGTCAGATTAAATCAGTATCAGCACTCTACAACTATTTTTGTCATCTAATATACAGTTGTGATTTCTATGTAATTTATGTCATTCTAGTGATCTCCACAGGATTTCTTCTCAAGTGGGTGCAAAATTCTCATTTTCACAATTCAGACCAAAATTGGTCAAAATATGCCCATTTTTATGGTTTTTCTCATTTTCAAGTGGGTGCAAATGGATTTTCAGGTGGATGCAGGCCTTTTTTTAAAATCTCAGTTGGTTGCTGCACCCACTTGTTTTAATGCTGGGTAGATCACTGCATTCATCTACAAGGCTTTCATGTATCTAAGGCTGGGGAAATTCCTGCATGATTCTAGCATTCACATATTTGATGAAGAGCATTTCTTTGGTTAAAGTGTCCTGCAATTTTGGTGACATCACATAAAGCACCAAGTTTACACCACCAGGGGATTAGAAGAATTGATTTTAAATATAATCAAAGTAAAAAACATGTGTTTGGAGCAGTAGAATTTATTAAATAACATTATGTAACATACATGTATATTACCTTGATACCTCATTTTCTACAGACTAAAGCTAAAACTCCAACTGAGTAATGTATAATATACGATAATCCGCACAAACGCAATCAATGAGAGTTTAATAGGTTGGAGGAAGAGAGAATATTGTAGCAAAGTTCACTGCATGCTGCTTGCTTGCTTACTATAATATGACTTACTGGCCATGTGGTCACTGAACTCATGCAGACGTCATAAAATTGCAATTAGCATATAATACATATATTTTCCAGAGATAGAAAATATTCAAGGAGAGTACTTGAATAAGCGATACTAGGATTTTATTTCATAATTTTCGAAGGTAAATGCCAATTAAGGCTTTTAAGCTTTACAAGGCAGGCCAATCACATACTTTCTCTGAAAGGCTTGGATGGGTTAAAATATGGGTGAATTTTTTACATTTTTGCCACTTGTTTTTCAGTGTGTCCTTTAGATTTCTTATGGTTACTTAGACTTCCACTTTGAGCAAATGATACATTACACAGTTCACACCTATGAGGCTTTTCCCCAGTATGAGTCCTCATATGGCTTTCCAAATTTCTAACTGATCCGAAAGTTTTTCCACAAGTCGTGCATTGATGTGATTTATTATGGGTTTCTGCCAGGTGTCTCTCCATTGATTCTCTGCATGAGAGAACTTTATGACAAATGGTGCATTCAATGTTCCTCTTTTTATGCATCCATTTGATATGGTGTTTGAGATTGCTCAAGAAAACAAACATTTCTCCACATATATTGCAAATCTGATAATTGAAGTTTTTCGGACAGCTTGCCTTGCATTTCTGATTATTCAAAAAGTGTCTTCTGTATTTCCCATGGTGTATGAATCCAGCCTTACATGTTCCACATGTGTGGAATATTTGCTTAGAGTGAAACTGTGCAACGTGGCGATTTAATAAGCATTTATTTGTAAACTTCTTTTCACACTTATTACATTCTTCAGTCTTCAGTTTTTCAGCTCTGACTACATGTATGTTAAAGTCTGTGTGGATCGCAATATAATGTTCTGTATATCTGTCAAGACGCTTAACATGATAGTCACACAGTCTACACTGAAACATTTCAATCTGATGACAGCTTATGAAATGTTTTCTCAGACGCAGTAGATTATGGAATTCTTCAAGACACAATGTACATTTATAAACCAGTTTACTTGGATTCTTCAGAGTCAGAATTCCATCTGGAAATAAAAGGAATATTTATAAATATTTCCAGGTTCATGACTAATTCCATAATTTACCTTAGAATGACTAATTGATTGTGCATACAATAAAATCAAACAACCACTGAAAGCCAAATATTGCCAATTCTCAACAGGCCCGTAGCCAGGACTTGCCAAGGGGGGTTCATTTTTCAAAAATTTCCAGGGGGGTTCACATTTGACAATTTTGGCCCAAATATGGCTAAAATCACTTGAGAAGTGCTCAAAATGGTGAAAAACTGCATGATTTTGAAAGAATTTTTGGCTGGGGGGGGGGGGTTCGTCCGAACCCTGCGAACCCCCCCCCCCCCTGGCTACGGGCCTGCTCAAAAATACAATTTGTGACATAATGCACAACAAATCATATTGCAACAAAACTTAAAGAATGTACTTATACGTATTAGGGGAAACTATGGTTAACTAATATTAATACTTGTAGTTCCATAGGAAAGTGCTACAAGAGTGCTGTATATTGCTTATATACAGCTCATTTAACTCAAGCTTTTTAATCTTTAAAAAATTTAATTTTAAAATCCAGCATGCTTTTTTTCAATCGCTTTCATTCACTTTCTGATAACAATTGTTAGACCTTAATATATTAAACTTACACTTTACAGAGGCCCAAAATACATTTTTACCCTTCTTAAACATGTTTTTCAGGTTGGATTATTATATCACAAAACTATTTTTTCTTCTTTTCACAACCTTTATTTTACTAAACAGGACATTTCGGATCCTGTCTGGATCCTTCTTCAACTGTATATAAACTGAACTGAAGCACTACAAAACAATTGAATAAAAACAATATTACATCATAATAATTCACCAAAAATTCATTCCAAATTCCTGCCAATTTAAAAAAACGTCACATTTCACAGGAATTCTGTTCAGTCCTGTTTAGTAAAATAAAGGTTGTGAAAAGGAAAAAATAGTTTTGTACATTTTTACCATATGAAATTCAAAGAAAGGTCAAATCAGCATGAATACACATTTGTGGACAAAATGACTACATATTTGCAGGACATGATTTATTTCTCAAAGCTTTAAAATACTTTATTCTTTATTTAATACTTTACACTTTACACATGCAAACAACATTGGACCCCGTACAAACTCCTTCGAGCTTACTAGGCCCATACAACCTCGAATGATGCTTGTAATTGTTGTTTTTGAGGCCCGTATGAGCTTGTAATTTTGAGGCCCATACAAGCTCGTAAGAGGTCTGTTATTGGACTCTTTTACAGCACAAAAAATTATTTATTGTCGAGTCATGCTACATGATTCACGTATCTAACTATAACATGTTATATATGTTTAATCAGTTCAGACATTATTCATACATCCGATAACAATATGTTTTTGTTTACATCACATTTCAAATTCATACTGTTCATCATACAGATATGCAAATATTTTGAAATTATTGAAGACATATTAATTCATAACTAGATAACAGCAACTCCGCGGAGTAGCAAATCCCAACGAACAAAATATCAATTACCGAATTCCAATCAATTATACTCATTACTATGGTTAAAATTGAAAAATTTATATTTTAGAATTGTGAATTCCTGCAAAGCAGCCATTTTGAATTTTTTGAGGTACAAATCTGAAAAATAATACCATAATTGTGATCTACTCCAAAATTCCTTCAATTTGAGTATAATATAGCCATACTTTGAAGGGATCGAAAAATTATTGCGAAATCGTAGATTAGACGGCCATTTTGAATTTTATGAGGCTTGAATCAGAAAAAGATACAATATTTGCAATCTACTCTTAATTGCCTTTCATTTGAGTATAATAAAGCTATACTTCAGAAAGATCTAAAAATTAGCGAAAATTTCTGTTTTCCTGTCCCCCATACACAGCCCCTGGGGGTCAGGATGAAAAACACGGAATATATGTGAAATAGATGAATGTTGTGAATATACTACCAAAAATTTCAAACAATAATATTAATTACTTTGGTTTAGAATGAAAAATTTATGATTTTTGCGTAAAACTATTCACCAATATACATCTTTCCACTGAATATGAAGAAAATCCATCAACTAGTATTTGAGTTATCTTCCGGATAGACGGACTGACTGACTGACTGACTGACGGACAGACGGACGGACGGACAGACGGACGGAGGGCTTCACTATATCCCTACCGAACTTCGTTCATTGGGATAATAAGATATAATTGAACATGTTGAAATGTAATTCTTAAGTATGCTGTATTCTATTAATAACAAGGCACAGGACGTGAACGAGATCACACCATCAAATAGGCAGACACTATGAACCAGGAAAACTGTTCTCCTATTATGTTTACAAATTTCAAGAACAAGAAAACAAGATGGCCGCCCAAAAGTTAATCAGCTCTAGTACTTGATATCCTCTATCATGTGTGTAAATTTGAAGGAAATCCGATGAGCGGATTTTCTGAAATGGCGACGACAAGATTTTTCGAAAAATCTTCAAAATGGCTGCCAGAAAACAAGATGGCCAGCCAAAAGTTAATCAGCTCTAGTACTTGATATCCTCTATCATTTGTGTAAATTTGAAGGAAATCCAATGAGCGGTTTTCCTGAAATGGCGATGACAAGATTTTTCGAAAAACCTTCAAAATGGCCGCCAGAAAACAAGATGGCCACCCAAAAGTTAATCAGCTCTAGTACTTCATATGCTCTATCATCTCTGCGAATTTGGAGAAAATCTGATGAGCAGTTTTCCTTAAACGGCGATGACAAAAATGCGGGACGATCACGACCACGATCACGACCACGACCACGATGGTGTGATAAAAAGTGTTCATCAAAATAAACGAACAGTTACGAGCCTCATTACGAGCCCCATATTGGAAAGTACAGTGCTCAAAAGTTACAAGCCATTACGGGCCTTGTTAAGGGCATCGTATAGGCAAGTACAAGGCTCGAAAATTACAAGCTACTACAGGCCTCGTAACAGGCACATACGAGCAAGTATTGGGACTGAAAATTACGATTTATTACGGGGTTCGTTACGGGCACCGTATGGTCAAGTACGGGGGTCGAAAATTACGAGCTATTACTTGCCTTGTAATTAAAAGCTCTTACGATGCTCGACAAATACAACCATTATGAGACTCATAACGAGTCCTGTACAAGTTTGTACAGGGCCCATTGACTCAATGAGCCTTGTATGGGCTTGTACGAGGTCTGATGTAATTTGCCTTATAGGCCATTCTATAAACTCCATCCCAGATTGTAAAATGTTTCACATGGATATAATGGTGGTCAGTCAGAATGTCTTCACCATCTGGACTTATGCTGTTTCTCAATGTGTCCTTTAGATTGCCTATGTTTACACAAACTTCCACTGTGTGCAAATGACACATCACAAAGTTCACATCTATAAGGTTTTTCACCTGTATGTATTCTAATATGTCTCTTCAAAATGTTCTCTAACCCAAATTTTTTTCCACAATATGTGCATTGAAGTGATTTGTTATGGGAATTTCTGAAATGTGAGTCTAGTGATGCCTTGGAAGGGAATATTTTATGACAACTTGTGCACTCGCTGCTCATCTTATTATGCATCTTTTCCACATGGCCCTTCAAATCAGACAAACAATCATACTTTTGTCCACAAATATTGCATACTTGAAAGTTGAACCTTTTTGGACAACTTTTTGCACAGTCGGGACTTGTCAAATAATGCCTCTTGTAGCGTGTATGATATACAAATCCCCTCCCACAAGTTTCACATGTGAAAAGTACTTCCTTGGAATGAACCTGTGCTATATGATTCTTCAAATAACTTTTTTTCGTGAATTTTGCATCACACTGGTTGCAAGCCATTTTCTTTGGCATTTTAGCCCCGACAAACTCCAGGTCTGTGTGGTTTTTAAGGTAATGATTTGTGTAATGCCCAAAACATTTATTGTAGTAGCCACAGCGTTTACAGTGAAAAAACTCATACTGATGAACATTTCGGGAATGCTTTTTCAAATACAGCATAACTGAGAATTCCTCTGGGCATATTGTACACTTATAAACCAGTGTACTAGAATTCTTCAGTACCAGAGTCCCATCTGGAAAAAGAAATAATATCCTTAGTTGTAATATTCCTAGACTATTGACCATCTGTTTAAGTAAGCCATCATTTCATGTCACATTTTGGCTCTGACCTAAAAATCAATAAGAGCAAAAAGACAAAAATCATCGTCTTTCAAACAATTTTCAGCATGGTTTAGATTATTGACAAGAAATATGCACACGAAACAGTTTCCAAATCCATTATTTCCAAGTCTCACAGAAGTAGAGTATATCCTAAAGAGTCAAATCTGAAATCAAAGAAACATCTGTGTGAGTGTCAAAAGTTATAGAAGACCTAAGTTTAATTCATTGGGGGATAAGGGAAATAATATGAGTACATGAGTGAGGAATGTATTACATTATTAGTGAATTTGAACTTGGAGATTCATGGGAAAATCAAAAAAAAATTCAAATTTTGTTAAATGGGGATTGAGGAGGATAAAGCCATCATGAATTAGTTTTTCCACAGCTGTCAACATTTTGAGATTGTCCCTGTTCAATATACCCTTTGGTGTCAACATTTTGAGACTGTCCCTGTTCAATATACCCTTTGGTGTCAACATTTTGAGACTGTCCCTGTTCAATATACCCTTTAGTGTCAACATTTTGAGACTGTCCCTGTTCAATATACCCTTTGGTGTCAACATTTTGAGACTGTCCCTGTTCAATATACCCTTTAGTGTCAACATTTTGAGACTGTCCCTGTTCAATATACCCTTTGGTGTCAATATTTTGAGACTGTCCCTGTTCAATATACCCTTTAGTGTCAACATTTTGAGACTGTCCCTGTTCAATATACCCTTTGGTGTCCAGTTGCAAATATGATAGAGAAACAAAGAGGACAAAGACAAATGTTAAGAAGACATGTAACATTGAGTTTTAATGACCATGATTTTTCATCTACTGTACAAGATGTAATTATAACGTGTATTAAATTATAACGAAAAATAATGAATTGTCTTTGTCGTTATGTTTTATTCTCGATATATATTCTGACTTTTGACCAAGTTAATCATTGTTGTTTGAAAAAATCGGGATAAAAATGGAGTTTGGAAAAAATGAAAACGGAAGTCAATTGCTTTAGAGTGTTTTCGTTATATTTTCATACCGTTATAATTACATATCCTACAGTATAACAAAATTTAGGGGAAAGTTCTAAAGTAAATGGGAGCTGCAAAGAATATTGAGCTGTGCTCTAGATATAGAACCAAAGAGAACCTGTACAAATAAATGCAATCTTACATATGAAAACACCAGATTTGTGTTACTGAATTTCCTAGTTTCATTGTTTAATGTTTTTTCTTGTCTGTTTTCGAATGGAGCTGTATTGGTTCGAACAACTTGAAGATTTTATTCAATGGCCTTTTAAAGAGCAATCCTTTGTAATTACATTAATACAATGTTATTTCTGTTTGTTGTCAACATGGCCTCACTAGCAGTGAGCAGTTATATGCAGTTATTTGACGGTGGCCTTGATTAAGGCTGAAAAATCTAACCTTTTGCACTCTACAGATTTTGAGACTGGATTTGTCTGTCCCACATTTTTTTAGACAGAATGCTTCATCCATCTTGTCTAAGTAAAAGGATTGTTCCTCAACATGTGTTGAATGACTTCAGTATACTTAAACACCAAGGCAGAGTAAACCTGACTGAGCATCTTACAAACAACAGATAAAACTCCCAGCAATCAAATTATAGTAGCCAAGTAGCTATAAAACAAAACAATATTTCCTTTGGCTTACAAAAAGGTCTCCTGGTTGATAAACGGGTACATTGGACATCATATCATAGTACGCTGAATCACTGCGTGGAACATCAGTTTCTTTCCTTCCTGCTTTTACTTTTCATTATTCCTGTGTTTTTAATATTTTTGGTGCTTTTCCCTTTGGCATTATGTCATCATTGTTTTCAATGGATAGATGGATGCACATAGATGCACTGCTTGCTTGATCAGATAAGCCATGATACAACTCAAAAGGCATAGTCGATATATTGGTAGATAATCTCGTTCACTAATATATGGCTGAAATGATTGGACAAGACAGAAACAATGATTGAGGTGTAGAACCTAGGAAACAACTCCTGTGTTTAAGAAATTATGATTCATGTTTCCGAATAATGATTGTTGTACCCAAGACACAATTTACCTACATTTTCACAGCAGAGGTTATGCTACAGAAAAAATTCCATTTATACAAGTGGAATGCTCCACACTGTCTAAAGAGCAAGTAACCTAGTTATTCCTAAAGCTGGGTATACACCCAAACATTATTTAGAATTATAATCTAATTCATTTTGTACCTATTCATCTATTGTAATCAGGGGTTCCAATCTAGCAGCAGACAAAACAGATTTTTCTCTAATTGCATTTCAAAAAATCATGATGTTTTTAAAGATTTTTGCACAATGTAATTGTTTTCACATGCTCAAGGTACACTGTGTATAATATTCAATAACTTGAACTGTTGTTTTCATATGTTTTGACTGTTGTCAGAAATCTAAATGAAACCCCTGTGTTATGAATCTACAGAGACAACAAGTATGGTGTATAAATACAGTGGTATTTCCACCTACAGGTGCTTGTAGGGGTAATGTGAATTGCAAAATATGATAAACATAAAAATAAGTTTACATTATATACCCTATTTTATTGTTGATCATAGATAGTGTCAACTAGAAAACAGAAACTCCACAGAGTAGGAAATCCCACTGAACAAAAAATGTACATGTATTGATCAATAGTGGCACTCTTGAAAATTTCTTGAATTTGAACCAAATTCGTCAACTGGTATTTGAGTTATCAAAGATTATGTTCTGTTATGAAGAATGATGGCTATTTTAAAATTCAGATGCCATCTTGAAAATCTCTTCTTTAGCAAACTTCTTTGTCCTGAGGCATTAGCATATTAAATTTGAACCAAATCCGTCAACTAGTATTTGAGTTATCAAAGATTAAATTTTTTACAAAAAATGGTGGCCATTTTGAATTGAGCGACCATATTGAAAATGTCTTCTTGAGCAGAGGTCCAACACCCATAAAGCATAAGCCTGTAAAATTGAAACCAAATCTATCAACCAGTATTTGAGTTATCGCCTGGCCACACGAACTGACGGAGGGACGGACGGACAAACGGCTTTCCTATATCCCCCTCGAACTTCATTCAGTAGGATAATAATTTCTTCAAATAATCTGTATGGTGTATTCTTATATCTTATATGTTGCTAGGGTGGTTGTGTTATTTGCAAAATGATAAAGATAAAAAATTGATGACTATTTCAATTTTGCCAAATTAATCTGATGCCAGTAATTTGAAGCATAGACATAACATTTTACAAAGTGTATTACCACTAATTATCTGAATCTGACACTCGCAAATGTAATCATATTCACCATAAATGGGTTTACAAATATCATGGATGCAAAGAACAGTTCTTTAAAAACCCTAGTTTAATAAGTGTCAGCATGGCCATTCTTATTTCAAACATCATTTACATAAAACATAATACACTTTCGACATTTTATGATTTAGAGTGCAGTCCTGATACAACTTCCCACAAATACTGAGATAATATTTCTGTATCTTAAATATGAATTCTTGCCAGTTTATAATTTGCATTTGATTTTTCTTTTATACAATAATGATGTTGAAAATTGGCTAACCATGATGATACTTTTAGAAACATTATGAAAAAAAAAGTTTTTTCTCACCAGCATGCAGCACATTATGTCGCCGTAAGTCCGCCTCATTTTCAAATTTCTTAGCACAGATGTCGCATACTATTACATTATGTATTGTCTTTTGGTGCTCTGCAGCTATTGCGTATGTTTCAAATTTTGTGTCACAGTCCTTGCAGATCAGTGCTAAAAATAATGAAATTGAAAATGAACAAAAATAGGACCTTTTGAAGATTTTAAGAATAAAGAACTGAAGTTGCGGTGTTCTCTTAAATATGACTTTTAGGGGTTTGTATTTTTTGTTACCATTTATAGCCAATTTATAGTATAATAGCTCTTACCATCAGGAATTGATCTCACATGCCTTCTTTTCTCTTTTGGTTTAGGAGTCTCTTCTTCAGGTTTAATTTTTGGCTTCTTTTTTTTCTTTTTCTTCTTCTTGATGGTGATCACCCCTACTTCCGCCTCCTTTGCCTTCTGATCAACATCAACTTCACCATCATCAGCTTCTGGTCTGACCTCTTCCTGTTTAGCACCAACAATTCTTTCTGCTTCATATTCATCTGTATCTCCATCAAAATCATCATTGTCTTCTTCAATATTGTCATGTTCATCATCATCTGGAAATATACCAAGTGATGAAATCATTAAACATCTGAAGAAAACACACTCAAGAGTTGAGAAGTACTGGAAAAAGTTAACAATTTACAGCTTCCATACTACAGCTTGTGTTTTTTCTTAAAGAGAATACCTTACCTGATCCTGACTGTGGCTCATATTTAGCTCCAACCTCTTCCTTTGCTTTCTTCCAATCTCCATCCTTACTTTCAGCTGCATCACCCTTTCTCTTCATGCTTCCAGATTCAGACTTCATCTGTTCAATGTTAGAGGGATCAAAACTGGTGTAGGGGGATTCTTGAAAGCTGGTGCTTGGGGTAGCAATACTTTGATTAGCAGCCTCATAATCTGATACTTGTCCTTCATAGCTTGTACTGTGCTGATCATAAGCAGAAGATTGTTGGTCATACTCAGTTCGTTGTTGATCATATGTGGCCCGGTGTTGGTCATACCCAACTGTAGATTGTTCTTGTTTAATAGAATGCATGCTATCAGGTTTATTCTCAAATAGCATCTGATCACAGTCAGTCAAAAATTCTGGGATATTTAGCTTTATTGCAAGCCTCATTACTTCTTTGATTTCACCTTGACGAATTTGTACACTCAGGCCATATATATAATCCAGGATTATGTCCAAGCTCTGGGATTCAATCTCTTGTTCATCATCGATCTCAGTTGAGATTATTGTTAATAAATGCTGGTCAATATCGACACATCTTGCGGCTATGAAACTACTATACTGACATACAATTGCTTTATGAGCAAGGATTTGACTCCCATCTGGGAACAGGAATCGTAGATCACATAATTGCCCAGTGTTCCGCATTACTGCAAGCTTTTTCAGGACATTCCTGTTTTCTAGTGTGTACATCTGGAGATTTGCTTGAGCCATGTTTAAACTGAAATAATAATAAAATCATTCTCATAATAATTACTTAGCTAGTGTCACAATCATAAAAATTCTCATTAAATGTGGATTTACCCGAAAAACTAAATAACTAATTTTATATTTATACAGTTGCAATTGCACATCTTGTTTTGGCTCGCAGATGAGCGATATACTTTGCCCTGTACATGTACTTGATCTTATGTTTTGAGGAGTTGTAGCTTAATAACTGAAGTGAAAGAGGAAGATGTAAATGGTGCAATTCATGGGACAATCTAGATAATGTTGCAGTCAGGTTTGAACATGAGAGAGAATGGTGCTTCGCCAGGTTCTGAGGGTTCTCTTCTTTGGTACTGTAGCTGAAGAAAATGCATTTGCATTTCTCTCAGCGTTACGTTTACAAGAACCATTTTCCTCACACATGGTACATTCTATTTTGAAGGTAAAAAATATGGGCAGTCCAAAGTTAACATTTTAGTGAACACAAAATCTTTTTGATTGAGTGAAAAGAGATTTTCAATTGGATTGGTGCACTGTGGGATCCACGGAAAAGCTGGCCGGAGTGTCATAAATTTATCAAATATTTTAAAAATCACCAGATAAATAAATCTTTAATCAAAATGGGACCGGCCAGGCTCCTTGATGAGATATTGCATGATTTCATCAGGATTTCGTCGAAAGTTAAACAAATGGCTCCAAGAAAAATGGCGATATTCAAAAACTGGACGAAATGCCGTTAATGTCTGACATTAGTAACTGGCTGTAAATTCTAAGTTAGCGATCCAGAAGATGTGAACTCGTAATTGATCACTAAAGTGTGTTTTGGAATTTTTGGTGAAGAAGGTAATAAGATTTTATGATTACGACATGACCCGTACACATGCAGGAATTTATCATTGGACGAAGGCCACGATACAGTGGCCTTAGAAGAAGGTAATCATAAAGAGAATATAGAAATAGAATACTAGTAGCAGATAGACACTGACAGTTTTACAGTTTGGGCCATAAATAATTGAGTTTGGGTTTTCAATAAAATAGAATGCTCCTTCCAAAATGGATTTGCCTCCTGAGACTCTTATCTCAAAGACAGAATGCACAAGTAATTTAAGGCAATCAGCTTACTGCTACTTTTCCCTTGGCCTATGGTGCAAAGTCAGTGCTGAATTTTTGGGCTGGGTCAAATTGACTTTGAAAGATTTGATCTTTTTGACAGGAATTTAAGACTTTTAAAACGTGTTACCTTCTAAATAATGCTACCTACGTCGACTCTGTACCCTATTCTTTCATGACAACCAAATCACATCAACCAATCGGCATTGTAAACAACTATAAATCATTTCCTGAAACAAAGAATTTCTGCACAATTTCAATTAACATTCACTTCCGCCGAATAGTTGCCACTCGTTAGGTTTCTAGAGAAAGTAGGTCAAAGTGATGGGAAGATCACTTGCACTTTGACGACTGAGCAATATAGACAATATGTAGACAATAACATCTTGTGATAACGTTTATATTGAAATAAAATTTAAGTTCCATCCAAACTGCATGTACTCCCATTCCAGGGACCAAATAGAAAATATGCAAATGGTTGTTCCAAAGGAGCTTGGCTGGACTGATGGTCGAACAAGCCCTCTGATAAGTCTGTATTGCTCTAAAGAGTAACTACTGAGACCAGTACAGACACATTGGAGGGCTTGCCCAACCCTCCAGCCAAGCTGATGTTGGTTGTTCAAAATATTATTCTCTGGTTGAGCACTCTCGACTCTTTAACTACTATAGTACCCCGTGTAGTACCTTCTTCCGAGGGTCAGCGATCTCTGTATTCTGAGTAAAGGTCCAAAGGTTTGGGTATCACAACTGGTACATACTAATACCCCACATCCAAGTATCATTTAGAATCAATGTTGCAATAGAACACAAGACCAAGATAAGTTTTAAGCTCTCTGTGGTCACCCTAGTCTTCACTTTCAATGTGGTTGGCTCTTTTGACTTTGGGATTTCTTTGGATTCAATTTTTGATCTTTTTTCTGGTATTGCCCCTTTTGCTTTTACTGGTATTTCAAAAAAGGATTCTGAAATGGATACCTTTTTGAAAGCTTATCTGCTCTCTCTGATTAATCTATTTTAATCCCAAAACTTATATCTCCAGCATTTTTCTGCTGTTAATGTGAAGATTATAATATGAGTAAATAGTACTAAGTACACACTACTTATACAAAGGGTAATCAATAAAACTAAACAATTTATGTCCATTTATATTTTTACTTCCATTTATTGCAATTCATTCATGTTCATTAATAAGTATCTTGCTTAAGAAAAAATGTGTCCATGTTTTATAAACAACCCTGTCTGAAAAACAATATGTCCATGTTTTACATACTGTTATAAAGAACTCAATTTGAAAACAATGTCCATGCTTTGAAAAAATGGCACCATGTAGTGGGCTGACTCACACACGATTCCTTCCACAAAAACATCCATGTTGAGACACACTGTGCCCACTGATTTTACCATAGTACATAAAATGTGCAAAATATAAAAGTATTGCTATTGTTTTTGCACTACATGAAAATGACTTTGAAACATCCAAAATGTAAGAATATTGTATATATTTTAGCACAGATAATAACCTGTATATAAATACAAATGCTATTTTTGATCACTGACTTACATATTGCACGTCAATCTTTTAATAAAGCACAGCCTATATACGTATAATGAGCAGAACACTAGCAAAGGAAGGTGGGTATCAACAATTCACTTTTCTGAATTTAAAACTTATGACACATACCTTAGCCATCTGCTCTTCAGACTCAGTTTTTGTTCCTTTTCATTCATAATATGTACATATACAGTAAAACCTGTATATATTGAACAATTTTTGTGAGAAAAATACTTTATACACAGAAGTCAGAAGTGTGGAGGAAGGGTGTTCACTAGAGAGAGGTGTTCACAGGTTTTACTGTACCTATATATGAAAACAACACCTCATCTTCTACTGTTCACAAATGTCAGATACTGGTGTGTAAATAAAATTATGAATGGCATCTGATTCATTTGGCACAACATAGCTCACAATATGAATACAATAATACAATACAATGATTAAATGAACATGATGAAATACAGATGGCAATTAGCTGATTGTATTTCATCTCTGTATAATATTAGAAATGAATTGATAACATGAAAAATTAAACATATGTAAGTTTTAAACATGTCAAACTTTGTCAACCCGTCACTAATAAGTCAGATCAAGCACTTGGGATATATATTGTTTTGGACTTGAACAGGATCTGACTTCAATAAGGGGGTGACATCAACATAGATGTCAATACAATTGAACTGCCAAACTTTGGCAGAAGGCACAACAAAACTGATTGATAACAGCTTGTACATTAACATAGATGTACCCTTGCAAAATGTTACGAGTTGAAGTGGAACACTGTAAAACTGTTTAATTAACAATTTTAGAATTTAACTAAAAACATTTTTGCAAGAGATTATCAACACATCTGACCCTTTTTGCCTGTTCAAAAACAGAAAACTATGAAATAAACAAAAGATAGAAAATCATGCCATGAAAATCAAGTGCCAATACCTTAAATGATTATACTGCATTCTGATTGGTCAAAAATGACAATGCACACTTGGATGTGAAACAGCTAAATACATTTAATAACACGAATCATTAAACTGGTTGTGATAGACTAGAGATAAGCAATAGCTTCTTTATGTTACAACCAAACAATGCAAGGTGACAAACTGGTATACCCACAATATTTATATCTCATTAGGAATCTGTAACAATTATAACACCTTTCTTTTAGGTGGTTACATTTTGTCATGTTAAGCCTTGTATAAAAATCTTATAATTTTTCAATTTCCAGGGAATGACTGATTTCAATGCCTGAAAGATAACTTTTCTTTCGATTCTATAATGTACAACTTTGCTTTCACATTTACATTTTGAGGACTCATATTATCCTCATATTTTAAACGTGAAAAACACTTTTGTAATACCTTTAAAAAAGTAACAGCTGCACAACAATATGTGATTTCCAAATACATGTATGATATTATCTTGTGTTATGAAGCCTATAAGTATTTACATTTGGCAAATAATGAAATGATATTGCTTTTTACGTCAATGACATTTAACTGTGAGCAAGCTTATGGTAGGATGGGGTCTGGAGAGTGAGAACCTTTGATATATGACAAATCATTGTAACCTTCTTTTGCGTATTTTTCTGAATTGGCATAGTCCAAAACATATACTCCAAACATGTTATGACCCTTAATTCTTAAAAAAGGACTACCCATTCATTTTAGAAAGTACCCAGTGCAGTCGAAATGTTGAGACATGCGCAGACCTCTATTTAGTGATATTTTCATTTCAAATATGGCGGCCAATCCGATGTCTGACGACCCTTACAAAGAATCTAGGCAGTGTGCATTTTTACCTCCTGTGAAATAATAAGTGGAATTTAGTAGTTGTTTTGTGTTTTATTATCATTCTGCATCGTAATTCTATGTGATGTGGTGTTGAAATGTCAGCGGAAATACATATCCATACGATAATCGAGTGAATCAGATAACAGATTTTTCGAAAACACGTCTCGTGCTAAGAGTGTAAAAACTTGTATTAACATGCTCAAAAGTGCCAATGTGCACATGAATGTCAAGCTAAATCAATGTTGTGTCTAAAACAGGTACCTGATCTACTCAAAACAGCTTGTCATTCACGTATACACGCTTAGCAAACACGGCGAAATGATCTGAATCTTGGAATTTCGTTCGAGAGCTAGTAATGTTTGCTCCGGTCTTCGTCATAAGTGTTCATCAGACTCCACGCATGCTCAGAAGAAAAACCATCAACCAATCACGTTTATAAATCAATTTTGCGCATGCGCCTTACAACGGTAAAAAAATTCGTATTTATAAACGAACCAATTTGAGATAACCCGATATCAGTCGGAGAAATCTGACGATCTACGAAACTCACTTCAAAAAATCAAATACGGACTGACGGCGTATTCTACTATGTTTGGATCTAAGATTTTCAGTATAGATAAAGTCTTTTATGATCTTTCGAATGAGGTAAGTCTCTAGTTCGAAAGACAATCGTATCAACTTGAACAAAAGTTGAGTTTTGACAAAAAATTTTAACATGCGCAGAAGTCCCATTTTCGTTGTACCATATTGACTGAGTGAAGTTGGGTGTATCACTTTTGATGATAATGTACTGTACAGTTCAGTTTCTATCCATTCCATTTTTCTTCTCGTTAAAGTAAAATCTACACAGAATTTTGCAAGGGAAATAAAAAATTCTGCACCATTTTCTGAAATGGCAAGCTCTCAAAAGTATTATGCAAACATATTTTGAAGAGGTTAATGGCAGCAGAAACCATGAAATTACTGAGATAAGGCTGAATTCATCAGAATTGATGATACCTGTGAAATCCACAGGGTAAGTCAAATTCTGTCCAACTCAATAAAAATGAAAAACTGGGAAGAGCGATAGTACATGTTTGCAGATTATTTCAATTACCAGAGATAATACTGATGAGCATACATTTTCTCGAAACTTGTTTTGGCATATCGATTAAATCTGACTGGACATACTCTAAGTTTTCACTCTAAAGTTTCTATATCTAGTACATGTTTCCATTTAGCACCTTCAGAAAAATCCAACTAAAACCCCCAAAAATGTAATGTTGCCCAACATGATTAGAATACTGTAAATCTAGCTTTTCTTGACCATTTGTTTTAGTTCTTTGTTTATTTCTTCAAAAACCTTCGCCATTTTGTCTCTAGTTGTTTCAGCTAGCTCAGTCACATTTTCTGCTGTCATTCCTACAGTAGGTATAGGATCAAGAGCCTGTACAATTACTTTTCCTGAAATATAAGAGGAACGGTTCAATAAAAAAACAGTTCAGGGTTGAAGTCACATTTATAGGGTCAAGGTCGCATTTACATGTATAGGTCACATTCATAGGGAAAATCAATTATTGTATTTACAGTATGGCTACCCTACTGATAATCAATGGGTTTTAGGGTTACCTATTGGAGTTAATGACTGGGTAGTATTACATTACTTTTTTCAATCATTTTCAATCTAGATTTATTCATCTAAAATATTGTTTTAAAAATTGGATTTAGCATTACCATCATCAAATCTTTTTGGCTTTTTACTGCAAAATAGTTCGTAGGATGATATCACAAGTGGCACAATAGGAATCTGAAACAGGAAAAAACATTAATCATCTATTTTAAGTTTTCCTTTATCTTACCAGATATTTGGGGGATTATTTCCCCATTACTATCTGTGAAAACCTCAGATGAGTAAACTGGCCAAAGATTGGTAGGCACTTAAAATTTGTGGTCACTTAGAGGCCTGGGCTTAGTGGATACTGATTTCCATTGTTTCTGTAAGGAGAAAACTATTGAATGAATTAGAGAATAGTATAGTTTCCATATAGCTTTTGAAATCTCGCTAAATCTCGTTTTTCGTGAGATTTTAAGAGATTTGCATATTTAACCTCTAATGACTTACATTACCTTCTTTTAAATGGCATATTTGAATTCAGTGAAATGTTTTCTCCTAGAATAGCTTTGATTTGCACAGTTATGTAATTTGAATAATTTTATATGACAATTTAAAAAAACTTGGGCCAAATCTCCATAGATGCAATGCTAAAAATCTTTAAAACCCTGGATTATTTGTATGTCAACCAACATTTGCACGTTTAATCACAACATGTTCATAAACAGGGTCATCATGTGGTATATCATCCAAGTTTTATACAGATTCAAGTAACACTATTTGATAAATCATGAAATTAAGCCACTTTTCCAAGATTTTAGCATGTAAGTGAAGGGAACTCTAGCCCAAGTTAAAAGCTGAATAAAAGATGGCAGCACTAGATTCCATTGCTTTTTCTGCTATTTAGAAACTATCCTATTAGCGATGGAGGAGATTTTACTTTTATTCGGATGTTAGCATTCAAATTATTTGAATAAATAAATCAATTTAAGATGGATAAGATGGTACCGATGACACATAATGTAAAATAATTTATCCTACCTGGGCTTGAACTGCTAAGTGGAATCCCCCCTTTTTAAAGGGCAACATTTCCCCAGCATGCCTAGTCCCCTCTGGGAATATAAGGAGTTTTATCTGGAGAAATATAAACTCGTCAATATGTACATCTATTTGTATTATTGTGGGCATGGGCTCTATCCCATGTTGTGGGGTATTGAACTCTTATATTAGCTTATTTACAATGAATTTCAGTTAATGTTGTGTACATACATGTTGTGTAAATGATATAATATAACATTAACATGATAAAAGTCACCACCTAGTTGTTCACAATATTATGAGTTCAATCTTAGTCAGATTTGAACTACTGAGAACTAGTAGTTGCTTTTGAAAAAAAGAATTGGTCAATTTGAAGCAAGTTGAAAAAAGACCTTATTGACTTTGAGAAGGTCACTGAAGGTCTAATCGTTTTTGACCTTGTGAATGTCATTGAAGGTCAAAGTGAATTGTGAATTGTAGATTTTGAAAAAAATTAGTCAATTTGAAGCAAGTAGAAAAAAGGCCTTTTTGACCTTTTTTGACCTTGAGAGGGTCATTGAAGGTCACATCTCAAATCTTAAGTCAGATTTGAACTTCTGATAACTTGTAAATAATTTTGAAAAACAATTTGGTCGATTTGGAGCAAGAAAAAAGACCATTTTGACCTTTTTCGACCTTGAAAAGGTAGTCAAATAGATAGTCATATAGTCAGATTTGAATTTCTGAAAACTTGCAGATGATTTTGAAAAAAATTGAAGTCAGTCTAAACAGTATTTGCTAAGTTATTGGAAGTTGTAAGAGTTTGTTACAAATGTCGATCGCCAACTACAAACCACCAACCGCCAACCATAAACCGCTGTAAAAAAACGGAGACCATAACAATATTTCACCACTTTTTGGTGGTGACATTAAAACAGTTCAATACATTTAAAAACCCTTCAGTATGACTGAGGTAACAATATAATTACAATACGTATACATTATACAATACAGTGAATGCACTCTTACTTACATTTTCATTTGTAATTTTTCTAACAGTTTTTGTCATTGTATCCCTGGCTTTTTCAGGATTTAAACGGTCAATAAATATTAATCCGCTGAGCCAACTGCCTAATCCAAATGGCCCTGCCCAAATCAGTTCCTTCTTCGCTAATGTGGAGCAACGCTTTGGATATACCTCCATTAGGGCTGAAAACAAAACAACATTTTTTAGGTGATCATCATTACTCAGTTCTATTGCAATGGTAGCTCTAAACTATTGACTAAAGGTATTCGAAGGGATATCCAGAATCCAAATATAGGCTAGACAAACTTAATTGGACGAGGCAAAATCTATATTATACTATAATTCATGGGACATACTTTTCACAGTCTAATTCAAAATATTTCAAAAATTAATGACTGTGAGGCAATGTTATTGCCTGCCTCATAGATAGTTATCTGTATGTGCATGTATCGGCCAGTTGTCATGTGCACTAATGTTTTTTCAATGGGATAATGTCTAAACACAATTTCAGAAAAACTAAACTAATTTTATAATGGTTTAATCCTTCCCTCCCTCATATAACAACATTTGAAAAGTTGATTTGCTGTTCAATTAAATTTAACATTCAATTCAAGGAGTGTCAATCATACTTCAAGGAAATATAAGAGGGAATTACAATTATTAAATGAAATGTTTTTTATTCTTATTTATTTTTTTGGACACTATACTTTTGTGAGTTCAATTCCTTTTATTCGAGCATTCAATTAATGAATGTTGAAGAAATAATGGGCATCAACTGGGGAATTTTATCAAAGACAAGCATTGTGTATGCAGACATGAACTAGATATAGTATATCCCCGAGTATATCGTCAATCATTTTAAAACACCCATTGTATACAGTACATATGATGTTATATTCAGTTTAATTGACTCCCGCTGTACATTTTCAAAGTTTCATACTCACTTATTAGGTCCAGAGAACTTTGATGGTTGCATACTATAATACAGGGTGAATGCTTGTTCATCTTTTCAACATCCCTCTTGATGATCTCCCATCCAAAACATTTCCGTAAGCAAAATGCAAAGAATTTTGAGATGTTACTGAAAATAAACAATAGTGTTCTTACAACATGGCCATTATATATAACAATATATAAGAATAATAAAAGTTCAAAGGTCCTTTAAATCAGATCATGGAAAGATGTCTCGTCACCCACCTTGGGAATTGATTCTAAGGAAATAATTATTAATTTATTCATAAATCATGATTAATGGTACTTAATATGGATTGAAAATCATCTCTAGCCCTCTCAATGTGGGAACAACTGATGCCCTTATTCTCAGAGAAGTTATTTGTGTTACTTAGTCATATCATATGTCAATACCCGTGTGTCAATATAAGGCTCCAATTAATAATACGAATATAAGAATACATAAACTTCGACCACTATATTAGATTCATACAAAGTTCAAGTACACAGGCACTTTACATGAGTGCTCTTGCCTTGATTTTAAGGGAGTGCTACTGCTGTATTCACCCCCCCCCCTCTACCACAATTCAAATTTTCTCAGTCGTGCGTCAAATAAGCATTATGATTCTGCATTGTAAACTTTAGTTAATTGAGTTTAGTAACCAAAAAATAACATGAATTGTAAATAACTTGTATAGCCATTAGCTGGCAGTGAATGAATCATGAACAGGATGAAAACTTTACTCACTCCATGTTACTCGAGTTTGTAGGTCTCAGTGCAGCGTATGGGATAGCTACGGCAGACATTAACATCACCAAACAATAGTACAACAAGAACTTTACATTGTATTTGATTGTACTACTCAATTGCATAGCAATTGGTATTACTAATAGCAAACCAATGAAGGCCCAAAACACAAAGTCCAACGCCATTTTTGTTTTGACTTCCGACTGAATGGAGGTACTTAACGACATATTTCTTACACTTAAATTTAGTATTAAAATTATTTAAATCATATGATAGAGTGGTCAGTTGTACTTAGATTATCTCAGCAATCCTTGATATATTTTTCACCTTTCAAATTATGAGAAATCGTAACTTATATTAATGAATTGTCGTAAAAACGACGTCTTATTCATTTCTGGCAGAGTGCATGTGTGGTCGAAATATTTTTGATTTATAATTTATTTCGTATATATTAAACAAGTTACAGGTTGCAGTAGCCAATAAAGTACATTCACAATGGGGATGTTTAGCATGATGTCAAATAAAAAGAAAACTGTAAGTGTAAATATAGTAAGGTAGCGGAGATATCTAAAATTAAACTGAAAATCACCCACTTCCGGGTTTGTTTTCTCATTTTACATTATGTTACAGTTTTGTAAGATCTATGATTTATGGTTTACACATTGATCTCAATCTCAGGTTCATCATAAATCGTGTATATTCAAGAGAGAAATACCGTCATGATTTTATCAAAGTTGTAAATTCCAGGTTAGTATATGTATCAGTGTGGTTGGTCTTATTGATTCAACTATCATTGGCTTTCAAGAGCCTATGGAAAGGGGGTTTTGTCACGTAATCACGTCAGGTGGTAATATGTTTTCACGTCGCACGTCACTAATTACTTTCACGTTTCACATCCTTGATCATCAAAATATTACATTCACATTTCACGAAGATCAAATATCATTACATTCGCGTTTCACAGGCTTTAAATAAATCGCTAAACCGTCCAATGGCGAAATTATACTTTTGATGTATAATGTTTGGGGATTTCACAGCGGTAATGGAAGATGTCCAACTGGCAATATTCAACACTTATGTAAAAACGAAGTTAATTTCATCTTTGTATTCGCCGGATTGGCTTGCTATTGGTTGAATTTCTACTAAGTCGTTATTCTCGACCAATCAAAATAGAAGAAAAGAAATTGAAATATTAATATCCCGATGGTATTACACCTCTCTTATGTTAATCTTTGTCGCGTTTTGTAACTGGTGTTCTAATTGGCTAAAAACAGAAAAGTTTAGAAATAGGAACTAATTACATTTGAGTTTACAAAGTCGACAAATAAAATGTATCACATAAACGAACGTAGGATCAAATGTATTCTCGCCGAACAAAGTTTAATTTATTCTGAAAACGTAGCACGAAATAACGAGACTGAATGGTATCACGGAGGTCTCATGATTCAGAATACGATGCATGAGGCAATGTTTATTGACTTCACGATGCACTGGGTTAACTTCATGAACATCTGCACGGGCCTGCAGGACTTGCATTTCACGTTTCTCGTTCGATCAAAATCCACTAAAACGCTGAACGCCCGAACCCTTTCCATAGGCTCTTTCAAGAGAAAGCCCATGATTCAACATATCATTATCTGCCACTTTAAAATTAATGGTCAGCTTTAATTTTAATTGTAGAAACTTTCACGGAGCAATAACAAGATGAAACGTATGAAGCGTGCGCAACAGAAGATTCGTGAGGGTGTTGTAGAAGGAGAGATCGTTGATGCTGGTCTTATCACAGTGCATCATCTGAGAAAGCGCAGGTAAATAATGTTTTGTAAGGTTTGAGGACAGATATGTATGCTGTGAAAGGATATATAGAGAATAGAGATTAATATATGGTAATGAGACCAGAAACCACAGAGTTTGTTCGAGTCTGTGTCATAAAAGAGGTTAAAATAAGGCAAAACACCATTGTGCTATCAGGCAACTGGAACATTACACAAGCTGGTATTTATTTATATTGTCCAAACTGTAGATGTTGGACTACCTGTAGGTTTATCATGCACACAATCCCTGTCCTGTATTGCGGCACTGAACATTAAGAAGATCTGGCAACAACTAATGAAGAATTCTTTCTTAATTAATAGAGATGAATCAATTCCATAATCAACTCTTACCCTTATCAGGTACAAACTTGAGTCATATCATAATTGTTTAAATTCAATGAAAATGGTACATGTAGCAATGCAGTACTGATTTAACAACCAGATCCTACTGTTACTGCATTCCTGATGTCATGGTAGATCTTAATGCCTTTCAATGAATTTCAGGACCAACCCAAAGGCCAACATCCAACTGTCTGGCAAAAAGAAAAATAAGCTTAAGAAACAATTGTTGAGAATGCAGAAAGAGAAGAATGCAATGGAAATCACTGCAGAAGATACATCAGGTAAAAAAGACCTTGATGTGTCAGGAACTACAATCAAAAATTGAGATGAGAAAAACGAAAGATCAAATGTGACTGAGGCATAAATGAGGTGAAAGTGGAGGAATTTCAATATAAATAACTTTTGGCAACCCTGCATGCCCATTTAGAAATATTCAAAAACAATAAGGTACAAGAAGCCAATGTTGTCCATGTCCATGTTGCTAATTGTCCAACAAAGGGCTCCACAATAAGCTAACAATCACCTACATGGGTGACATTACCTCCCTGTCATCTAAGATTCAATGAGATAAAATTCAAAACATAAAAATCTTAAATTTGATTTATGAGCTATAACCTTTAGCGAGTACTGTAGATTGGGTTAATTTGGCGCTACTTAATTTGGCGATTTTGCCATTTTTGGCATATTGGCGGCTATTTAATTTGGCGGATATGCAAAAAAAATTTAATTAACTTACGCGCCGCGCTGTTTGCGAATTGCCATGTAAATGGGCATGTTTGGCTATGTTCTTTTGAGGACCACTAGCGATATTCACCACGTTTGTACATTTTTGTGGGATCATCCTTTACATTTTGCACCTCGATCGATGCTGCTACTTTACCATGCTTTTCCATTCTAGTTTTTCCCTGAGTATTAATGAGTGACGGACCAGTTCTGAGCCAGTTTATGAGAGACATTTTTTCATATTTTTGGAAAAAACTAAACCGGAAATGACCTAAATACACTGGACGAAATACCCTAGATAATTCCCGGGGATTCATTCTAAATTTTGGCGAAGATTTATATTGGCGAATTTTTCAATTTCGCCAAATTCGCCAAATTAAAGCGGGCGCCAAATTAACCCAATCTACAGTATTAATTTAAGCCAAAACCCCCCAAATCTAATTAAATATTTCTGAATGAACAAGTGAAATTTAATATTATTCTTTATTTCAGTTGCAGAATCAGAATCTACCGAGAGTAAAGCAAACACTAAACAAACTAAAAAGACGCCAGATGTCAGTACTGTCATAGCAACACAGAGTTTAACAAATTCAAAAAACAAAAAGTCAAAAAAGACTAAAGCTAATCACGACAGCATGGAAGTAGATAGTTAACTCATCATATCTTTTTGGATTGTGGTTTAATAATGGAACAGACCTTTCCAGAAAATCTTGATATCTTTTGATGACCCAACAAAACTAGTCTCTGATGTCATACTTTGCTGTAAACAAAATTGAAAAACAGAAATTAGCAATAAGTTAAGCCTATATCTGCTCTAAACTGTAATAATAACATCAAAACCACTTGGATGACATGGTTTACTGGATTGGTCTATTGATCTTTAGTATAATCTTACATCAAATCTCAGGTCTGTATTTCCCCTTTACGATACACCGATCTATGGTGGCTTTAGAAAAGGACATTTAGCAGGGGTTTCACTAGAATTTCTAAACACATGCTAAACATGAAAACTGGTAAAATTAAGGGTAATCATAAATGTAACATGGAAAAGTTGACAAGTCCCTAAAAACAAAAGCCAATTTTGTGAAAACAGCTGGTGAAAATCACCTGTTGCCCGCTGCAAATGAAACCCCTATTTTAGTAAGGACATCTTTAAATTTTATAAATGAATATGAATGACTGATTTACTCTGTTATCTGTCAATTGTGAAAGCAATAAAAGATGGCAGGAACTGCAGAACATACTGTATTTAAATTTACTTTTATGTCACCACCTGGCACCAAGAAGTGGTGACATATTGGTGTTCAACATTGTTGTCTATAACAATTGTTAAACTTTTCAGAATGCAATTTATGTCACCACCAGATATTGTGACTTATTGTTATAGTTTCCGAATTTTTGTGGACAGTGTTTGCCATCAAATTGTTACAATTTCCAATGACTTAACAAGTACTGTTAAGACTTTTTATACTGTAAACTTACAGTATATCAACATGTTATGAGTTCCAACACATTTGTGCCAATATCTGTTACTATGGCAACAAATAAGTGGACTTGTAACAATTTGTAACCATTTGCAATAATTGTGCACATGGGCTTATTTTTAACACATACAGACATAATATGACTTTTTGCCAGTTTCAGTGACCATGGCATTGAATATGCTGTATGTTACCATGGGAACAGATTATTTGTCTTAAAACACTTCTCACATTTCTTACATCTGTACATACTGTAACTTAAGAATGCATGGTCACATTGACTTGAAATGAGTTTGAAATGATTGTGTCATGTCAGTGCCTTGTTTAATCTGTCATTGTAGTCTCCTTTTACACTCCTTGGCAACTTTTCACCATTTTTGAATTTTGAAATTTACAGTTGTATTGAAATCCCTATATTTTTATTTTTATTAACTGATAAATGTAATTTTGTCTTATTAGCTAGTTACAGTTTAAGTGTGAATTGTATTGAAACCAGTCATACAATTGTGGAAAATTAGAAGTATAACATAAACATGACAAGAGAAATATTCTAGACATTCTTTTATTAGGATTCATCATTTAAGTTTTATATAATCTATTCGGGAAAAATCATTATTCATCAAGAGAGTTCTTCGACAGCTATAGAAGTATAGAAGTCAGCATTAACACAATTTAAAGTGAGGGTCTGAGTTTTTATTTAAATAAGTAGATATCCTCAAAGTCTGAATGATGTCTGGGCACCATTGTTCAGACATGGCTGATCTAGAATACATGTAGCACAGAGGAAATCCGAAAGAATACCACACATTTTTCTGTAAATTCTGAATGGTGAAAATCTTGAACATTTTGTATTTTAATCGAAAAATAAAACGAATCATTGGTCAATCCTTAACGTTCAGGTAGGCATGGAAATCGAAATTGTGTGTCCACATGGTTAATCTGTTTCAGTAATCTTTGATCATTTAACAATGTTATAATTGGCTGTAACAATATAGTAGGATGGATAACTCTGTATTATATTTCTCTGACGAATACTGACAAATCCAACATATGGTCTTTATCTGTGGTAATTTTATTTTCAAGGTCAAAAGATGCATCTTCCGGTCCGAATTTTTGCACATCACTTTTTACCATCATTGAAACGTAGCACATGCTGAACTACAGGTAGATATAGTGAAGAAGTCACTCAGTCTGAACATCAATCCGAAAAATAACTCAAATGCTAGAGAACGGATTTTCTTTGGCGGAAAAAGTGAAATCGGTGAATTGTCTAACGCAAAAAATCCAAGATAGCAGTCGCTTTAAAAATAGCGAGAATTTTTCACGAAAATCTAAGTTTTTTTTATTTCTCACAAAAGTAGTTAGTGTTATTATTGTTTGCAATTTTGTAGTTTATCCATAAAATATAACTATTTCACATATATTCTGTGTTTTTCAGCATTACCCCTACGGGGCAGATATGGGGGATCGGGAAAATAGAATTTTCTTTAATTTTGAGATCTCTCTGAAGTAAAGTTTTATTTATATACTTTAAGGAAAGCCAATTTAGAGTAGATTGCAAATATTGTACTGTTTTTCTGAATCTGGTCTCAGAAAATTCAAAATTGCCGCCTAATGTGGGATTTCGTATTAATTTACTTATCCCTTCAAAGTAATGCTATATTAATATATCATACTCAAATTCAAAGCATTTCAGAGTACATCACAATTATGCTATTGTTTTGTTTCTGATTTGTGCTCCAGGAAATTCAAAAAACCTACTACCTAATATAGATTTATGTCTTTCTTTTATTATCTGTGCACCATGGGCAGAATATTATGGAATATAGGGTAAATACAAGGGTGGTCAAAAAAAACGGCAACCCTAATTTTTCCTCATATCTTTGTCATTTTTGGAAATTTTGCCCTGATATTTGGCACACATGTACATCATTCAATTTCATACTAGACTGTGTTATTTCATGAAAATTGGACAGATAATCGCAATGTTACAGCACTTTAAACAAGATGCCCCAGTTCTCCAATATCGTGCTATAGGCAAACCTGCACATGTTTTCCAAACCTGTCAGTGACATAACAGCATCCCTCAGCAACTATGGCCTGAATGACACATGTGATCTTTATTTTGAGGTAAATGTCTTTCTGGTGTTATTACCCTACACTCTATCTTTTGGGTATCCCCACTGGTAAAGAATAAATGGGGCCATATCTGGACTATGGGGTGCCCATTCATTGTCTGTTGTACTGCTGATAATGTGGTCATTGAAGTGGTCCCGAAGCCAATATTGTGCATCATTTGGTGTATGGGGTATGGTTCTGTCTTGTTGGAACCACTGTTGCTGCCTTTCAACCACCCTGGGTTCACCTAAAGTCCCCAAGAACTCCATGGGAATCATGGACTTTGACTTTGATGTTGACAGTTATTGCATATCTGTTAGCATCATCAAAGGTAAAGGACCCAATCTTCTGAGAACACACTAAACTGTGCATCTGTCTGTGTGAAAGTGCCTCTCCACTACTTCATAAAGTGCTTGGCTCCCCAAGAATACATAATTGTTACAGTTCACCAGTGCATCAAGTTGAAAATGGAGTTCATTTGGATAACAGACCAGCTCAGACAGCCCGAAAGTGGCCATCTGGAATATGTTGCTTAAAATGCAGTAATATTGTGACTGTCAGTCCGATGGTCATGAAATATGGTAGGTTGGTAGGAAATTGAATGATGTACAAATGTGTAAAATATCAGGGAGTTATTCCTTAGAATGACAAAGATATTAGGAAAAACTAGGGTTGCCGTTTTTTTTACCACCCTGTATAATATTGTGACATAAACAGATTCATGAACATTGTATATGAACACATATACACTCCATTATCCAAACACTTTTTGTTTCTTGTCCCATTTGCCCTCATGTTGTCATTTCCATAACTTCATTGTGTGGTCACATTCCAGTCTGATACTGAAAATGAAACCCTGCTTATGTCCCATTTCTGTAGATTTTAACCTTGAATCTGTTGGAATAAGACCTCGATCTAGGATCAAATATATGTCCATATTAAAAGGCAAGAAACTTGAAAACCTATCTTTGAGAGGTAGCATCAATTCTTTCTTCAAATTAAAATCAAATAAAATTCAAAATGAATCAATAAAACTACTCCCTTAACAGAGTTCTTACGAGGGACAAGTTCTTCCAAGTGTCACGATTCAACCGTGTATTCAAAATTCTGAACCATGGACATGATGGACGTATACTCATAACTCACGTTTAGATATTCACAATTGTAGATTTTAATCCAGGACTAGAGGGAAGTCTAACTATAAGCCCTTGTGGGGGGGGACGTCACAGTTAATTGCTGCTTAACTAACAGGAGGGGTCGACTCCTCGCTCGCGTTGCAAATGAGATACACTGGCATGACATCAGGACCATATGATTCAGAGTTTCAGGACTGGTTACATATTTCACACAAATTCGACATTCTGCCTTTTGTTCATTTGTTAAAAAATCGGTCTCACATTTACAAAAGAGATGAAACGAAATAGAACGTGCTATGGAGCTCCCAGGCACGCGTGCAATTTACTCCCAGAAAGGACTCCATCGAGAATTTCTGGGAACGCAACTTATTGAATACAATCGAATACTATTGAAGTTTATTTGGAACTCATTACTTTGTAAATAGTGTTTATAGTGAAAACAAATCCTAACAGAACGCTAGTAATGAGAGTATCACCTGTAAAATATAGTTCATTTTGACGGCTGTGCTTTTCACGGTTTCTATAAAAAATCATAAAGATTTTTTGCACTCATGTATTTGTTAATCAAGACTAATAAGACCTCCAAACTTGTTCTCTAAAGCACTTAGGATTTTACCTTTACGACTCAAATAATGAAGGAACTGAATGGCAATCGTAGAATTTAATTTAGGGTAAATAGTTGTATTGTTAAATCTGCGCCTTGCTTTACACCTGGTGATATCCGCAATGCACAATTGATTAATATTGTAATCATATCAGAATTTATTTCATTTCACTTCAATTATAACTTCCATTTGTATTGATGTAGAACTACGCTTTATAGCATGCTATGCAAACCAATATAAAGCAATGAGTTCCATTCAGTAAAGCTCATTAGAGAACCCTGGTTCCATCGACCAGCATCATTTCGTCAGTTCTACAGCAATACATTTCGCAAATGGGGATATATTTTAGAACTTGTGAAAATACAATGCATAGCAGTAGTAACAAACTTTGAACGCCTAAACTAGGAGGATTCGTAAATGTAAAATCCAAAGTTAATCATTTATTTTTCAATAATACCGAGAAGATGATCATAGACATGCGTGAGATGTCCCAGCGTTGGAGTTAGGTTATATAGTCATTGAGTACTTATCTACTCGCCGTTCTTCCTCTGGAACTTAGGATATATACATTTTGGGAACATTTGTCAGAAAACGTGTCCCTTTAACTTTACTGCATATGGAGACTGTTGCGAACCACAGCGGGCAAGAAGGTATGGTATACCAGTACTCGTTAGTTTATTCTTCGTTCTCATTAGTTAATTAGCGGTTAACAATGTAAACTACTGTTCACCTATAGAACTAGGTCTGAAAACATCGTTCTCATTAGTTAATTGGAGGTTAACAATGTTTTGTTAGTACCTCAACTGAAATACTCGATTCTGATTGGTTGATTAGCGGTCAACAATATGCACTGTTGACCGCTACTAGATACTGTTGACCGCTACTTTTGAAGAAAAAAGTTTTATGACGTCATAATATTGAAAACGTTGATGAAATTTCGGGTTAGCAAAAGTATAGCAAAAATGCAAATAGAAACGTAAAATCAACATTAATTTACTAATGAGAACGCCGTGATGTGCCGAATATAGAGAGTTTAGCTACCACTGTCTTCAGATTTTCTACAAAAATATTGCAAAAAACCTTCGGTCTCTGTCAACAGTAGTTTCTCGGTTTACAGTCTCGGTATACAATTTTGCCGGTTGACCTCTAGAGAGGTCAACAATTGTATACTGTTCACCTATAGAACTAGGTCTGAATACATCGTTCTCATTAGTTAATTGGAGGTTATCAATGTATATACTGTTCACCTGTAGAACTTGAGAGAATCTCCAGTTAACTATGAAATTATGCAAATGACAGATTCATTGTATTCCCAGACTTTATTCTCACCAACAGAAGGGTAAAAGAACTAATAGTGGTGGGTACGAGAGGCTTGATGGACAATTAGAGCTTGTCTTTTTGTTTTCCTCGATAAACAGGAAATGTTTTTAAAATTCCTTTATATGTCACACATGTTTCCTGACTTAAGTTTCCTGTGTGGAAAATAGATTTATATCAAGAGGGTCGTTCAATGATTGTAACTCAGTTGTGTGTATACTATAGATCCTTCTAACATGTCTAAACGCAGCGTTCATACTAGGAAAAAAGATTTCGGCCCCCGGGTTTTGGCTCTCATTTTTGCCCCTTTTCATGCATAGTGTCCCTTGTTATGCATGCCTATGTTTTAGAAGTCCATATGCTATTACCCTCGGTTAATTTATAGTTTTTTAGATTCTTCTGTGGCATTCTGTGGTTTTTGATGGTTCTTGTTAGTTATTAAAGATATGGTGATGATATTAAGTTGTTCTGTCATATTGGACGTAACCCACCTCAATTTTTTGTCCCCAACGCCAAGTGGAATAGCAAAAAACACATTTTATACATGGGGAGCTGAATGCGTTCGCCACATGAAAGATAAATGATTGATTTTAGGATATTAGATTTAATATTATTGTAGCAATAAAAATCATAGACAGACCTGTCATAAAAACCAAGATAAATTATAAAACGACAATAGTTAATAGGATTAGGTAATGTTTTGCATCAAATATTGACAATTGTTGGGTATTAATGAAGTTGATGGAATTGAGTTACTAATTGTTTAACTCCATCTATAGAGAATTAATGAGAGGCTGAAGGGCCTCTCCTCCGGGAGAAAATATGTTATCGTTCAAAGTAAAAATGCGTAACCGATTGGAATTAATTAATCGCTGTTGCATGTTTCATTTGGAATTGCATGTTTCATTTGGAATTGCATATGTCATTTAGAATTGCATTTTTCTCCTGTCTGTAAAAGACCAGTTATCAATGTTTTGTTTATATTTCTGGAATTCAATATAGCTAGCAAAAAGTATTCGTACAAGGCGAAATGGAATTTTTCTGAAAGGTTTATTGGATCCTTATTAAAAAATGAATAATGCATGTGGATAAATCACTCATGACGATTTATTATTAAAACATTTTCAAATATATCACATCAAAATTGCTTGATGCGTAATTAGTCAACGATTTCTGACTATTTGTTTGACTAACAATTTAGTGAAATAACACGGTTGAGTAAACATGGTGTCAATGTGAACACATAGATCTACTGGATACTATGGAAATATACAACATCTGCTTTCTCGTCTCCTACGGGAGATGACGGGATTCATGTTGCTCCCTCCAGATGCAGTAAAACATGGCCCTAGTGATATTTTTGCAAAATGGATGATCGACATGAATTGAAATGTTCAAAAAGATTTCAATAACAAAATCTCGGCGTTGGAAACAGAAGTAGGATTTACATTATTTTGAAACTAAAAAAGTTTTGAGAAACGGTTCAGTTTTCAATAATTTGATACTCCAGATATAGCAAACATTCTTTGCAACTCATATTCTAATTTCCTCCCAAGTAAGATGAGCTCAAACCTCTAAATGTTTCAAAAACATCAAGTATTCCATGGGATTTAAGTGTGTGGGATTTCATAAACAAAATATGCTGTGGTATGTTTAACGTCTCAATCGTCCGAAGAGATACTGCAAGTTTTAATAAATAGAAAAAATTATAGAAGATGTTTTGAGGAGAATATGGGAATAATGAAAACTTTTTGTTGGACTGTATACGTTATTCTTTCAAAATGGGTGTCTGTCAAATATTTTTCTTTCCATTTCAGAGTTGATCGACAGTTCACTCCATAACAGCAGCAACATTAATAATAATCATCCCCTTGGCAACATGCCAAACATCACCACAAATAACAACAACAATATGACAACCAGTGAAAACCATCCATCATTTGGAAACACAGGGAGTGACATTAATGCGAATGACAGTTCTAAATGCTGTGCGGGTTGTGGGAGCCCGATCCAGGAACGATATCTCCTGCATTCTATGGAGAGGTACTGGCACATCCGTTGCCTAAAGTGCTCTTGTTGCCAGGCACCACTGGGGGATCTCGGCCAAACGTGCTTTTCAAAGGCTGGGATGATTTTGTGTAAAAATGATTATTTAAGGTATGTATTGCAATTGTAGTTACTAGTTAACCATATAACTTCAGAAACAAGTCACAAATTACCATGGCTAACTCCTCTATCTCCCAAATGAGACGTCTCTCAGCCAGGTAGCCTAATATCCTTAACCCTCAGTCCAATGCCAGGATTGATGCCTCACATCTTGAATTATGGGATTCGTTTCATCTTGTTACTGTTTAATGTTTATTCCCGATAATATAAGGGGCTAAGGAGAATAATCCAATAAGGCATCGTTCGTCATTCAACTAGATAAGATGATAGGCTCTTTTGGGGATAAAAATTAGGCTGCATTATCAACTCATTATTACTAATTCTACTTGAAGATGTATGAGATGAATATATTGTGAGATGTAATAGTTGCATCGCGATAAGCGTCTCGGGAAGAAAACTTACCAATACTAGAAGAAAGGACGGACAGACGGACGGACGGAGCAACGGACGTACGCCTGGTCGATCCCATAGGCTCACTATGTGAGCCAAAAACACGTCAATTGCGAAATAATCTTATGCTTTTTGGTCGAAAATGTAATCTTTTAGTATACACTTCATCAGAATGTAACGTTTAAGAGCGTGTTTTGAAATTATGATGCATCTTTTGAAAAATATAGAACTCTAGGTCCATAAAATCCATTAATTTCTCTAGACACTCAGACATGTTTAAGAATACACGAAATCATGGAACTATTTGTATTTTTAGCTAAATAGATCGCCTGCGGTATATTTCTCTGATCCCGATGTTACACTAAAACCCCACATTATATCTGTTACTGTCCTGAGTGTTACAGAATCCACATACACCTCACATCGCTTCTTTGGTAAAACGATGCATTTGTACATAACGTGACATTTCTGACGCGTTCTTTATCAAGGAATGTTATGCATAATTGACCTCGATCACTTTATGTCGTGTTTTTTTCTATCTCGTTAAAGGAACAATTTCATTATAGGTAAACTAATAAATGATTTAAAGCCTGCCACAAAAATCAATCTTACTTTATATAAATCGTACAGTGCCAACAAATTAATTTTTACAATGTTGTTATTCATAATTGATCTGCACACATGTGCTCTTCTCACTTTCAATGGCTGCCTGTTCATAACCAAATCACGGCCATATGGTTTTGCCATTGACATTTAGAAAAGAGAATTTGGCCAATAAAACAAACACACATTTGGAATTTAAAAATTGCGTTTAATCAGACAGATGCTTCCCAAATCGGAGAACCATCGAGAAAGTTTAAAACAATGTGATCGCCGAGTAAAATGCCAGCGTTCCTCCGTGGGACACTATAGTCAAAGTGAGAATTACGCGAGTTGAAAAATTGAATTATTGGAATTTCTAGAAGTCTTGTGGTTAGGGACGAGTTCAGTTTTATCTGTTGTTTTTGCAGCCAAATTGTGTCGAATATAATGATGGAAAAATTAAATGAATTTCTCCAGGGCTTTGTGAAAGCCTTTATATCAGACCAGGATAATTGTTTTTGAACGTTCTTTAGTTTTGTTATTCACCCTATGCTTAGTGAGCGGAGCTAATTTCAAGGGTGATGGTAAAGACGAGGCAGGGCGCCCAAAAACCAAAAAATATTAGTACCATAATCTTTTAAGTCGTATTATTGCAGCATAAGGTGATGATATTGTGATATTTTATGCTGTTTTAGAAGTGAAAGATGTTAAACTATGCATACCGTTTGTTTTACATCCAATAAAACGAATAGTTAAGATGAAACAGTCGTTTAAAGATACAATTTGAATTTACCGCAAGAAATTACAACCTAATATTGTCAATATGTCAATAATTCCTGATCGATGTCACATATAAAGATATATGTACCTAGATATGTTTTATTTTTTCATATATGCGAAATAAGGCGGTTTCTAGTTATGTACATCCAATGCAAAATGAATGTTTACTAGAGTGTCTATTCGGCGATCAGAATTTCGATGACGAGCAATGGCGATGTAATTTGCGAAGAAAACATCAGTGCACCTAGTTACAGGCCAGGTTTGGGCGCCATGCCTCGTCTTTACCATCACCCTTGAAATTAGGTCCGCTCACTAAGCATAGGGTGTTATTATAACTCCCAAATTGACTGGAAAAGAAGAGTGAAAACGTTTTTATAAAAAATGGATTGCCCATATAAAGGCTGATCTCCATTAAAGATTTATTTCACCCACCAAAAGACAGACTCTTTCCAAATCGACATATCTGAGTAATAATGGGAAGGGTGGGGATGAATAACTATCCACTGTCTTTATCTGAAATAAAAAACCCATCCCTTTTGATACGAGATGTGCTCTTCGTAAGACTGTCCCCTGGCGACAATGCACACCGGTTAATCATATTTTTGGGCGAGCAACCAACATCGTTTTCCACATCAAAATTACATCTTAATATATTTGAGAGTATCAATTTTAGAAACGATTAGACATGTCATATTAAGTGTAAAAAATGGTTGATTTGAAATACATCTAATCAGCTACGGGGCAAAGTTTCTACTTACCGGCCGATTTATAATGAATTTGGGAGATGGGCTAACGCCATCCGGGACTTTCGGTAACCAGTTGGGAATGTACAAGATCTAATCATTTTTAGCAATTTGGCCATTATGGTCATTAAGTTGAGTTGGGGTTTATCTAGGATATCTCGTTTTTATAACAAACCATTTCTGGGAAATCTTTCCAAGTTAAACTGTACCTTGAGATCGGCATTTCAGAAAACACTTTAGAAAACATCAATGTTCCTTATTAAAATGTCCTCGAAAACTTCCGTAATGTTCAATAAGTGATTACCCAATTACATTTACCAATTAAGCGTTAGTTTGTTTTAGATATTAAACATTTCCCTGTATTAAGACAAGAATAAAAGAACCACTTTGCTCCGAGTGCTAGGGGAAGTGAAGGTTTTAAGAGTCCTGTTTCCATTCTTAATAGCCGACATCTTCAGCTTGTTTCCGCAAATTCTTATCTCAGTTCTGATCAATTAGCGCCAGATGATCAAACGGATTTCAAATTGAAAATATCAATGCAACTAGATGATCATGAAAATCGGGGGAATTGGGAGTCCATAAGTGCTCTGGAAACTAATTAGAAAGATCTATTAATTATGCAACCCTTAATTAAGTAATTGAATAGCAGTGTTTCGGTTCTCACAAAACTAGTGGAGAAACTGAATATTAGCTGTGTATGACGTATTAAAGTAACGACCATCGTTCCCCCATTTAATCGTTGTTTCCATGCCCATAGTTTTTTGTCGTGGGACTGGGGAAGGATATAGCACATTTGTGTATATCAAGCGTAGGATAACCTTACAACTCAGCAACAATACAAAGAAATCCCATCAGCTTCAAATTATTAGCTCGTAACCTGGACCGACGTTTAATATAATCCGAGTCATTCTAAACCATTTATTTAATCTAGAAGTCTGTCTAATTAAAGTAGGATTCCAATGGAAATTATGGTTGGATTTTGGTTTCGTATGTTTAACTACAGATGTACCAAAGCCTTAATTTCTTAAAGTAGGTTCAGTCTAAGTGGATAATCGGGACACAATGAGTTATAGGCTTGTACCGTCTAAATTAAGTTATATTCTATTGGCTTTTATTAAATTAACTGGAATATCGAATTTAGGAGCTACAACTGTGTGGTGGATAGTTTAGTAGTCGCCCTTTAAGGACCATCCGGATAATTTCTTATGTTCTATATTGGGATAGGTTCGGATGATCTTATTGAGCTGTTTTACAATGGATAGGGTTTTGTCCACGTGTTAAGTGCAATGTGAACAGGTGGCTTTAAGTCACTTTCTGCTAAAAAATGTCTACGGAAATCAGACTGCGGTTGTAAAATATGTCAAGGCTCATATAAACTGAAACATGATGTCAGAATATAAGTTACTTTTATTAGATTTTATTGCTAATGCTTCTTCATTCAAATTCAGTAATTATATAGTCTGGTTTCAGGCTAACATGCAAAAATCATGCATTCACTGACACCTTTTCAAAATTATTAAATAATTAGATAACCAATACATGACACGCAAGTACGCAACACGCAACACGCATCTTTTTTCAATATGATGTCGAGGGACGTGGTTCAACCCTATGGACTGCGCTCTCTGTCTTTGTGCTAGTTCAGTAAAAACTCTGCTGAAATTTTTATTAAGAAGCATGTCACTTTTCAATTGAGTTAATTGACCAATTCTTACTTTTTATATCAATTGTATATGTAAACTTTGCAACCACACCAATTCTGGTGGATGAAATAAAGCTGAATAACAATAATAACTCACAAATATCTGGTAAAGAACTGATCTTAATGATCATATTATAGAACAAGAGATTAATTATAAAACAGAAGGCAAATCATCATGAAACAATAAAACTATTTAAGCAAACATGAGTTTAATTAACAATTTCTAGTGGCTCTTGAATGGCCAATCCATAATGAACAATCAATATTGCATTTTTTTCCTCTGCCATATCAGGCACTCAGGTCATTACGAACAAAGTACTATATCTAGTATTGTAATGATCAATTATCGTTACCACGAAAACAGTGTAAATATTAAGCATGGACTTTATACTCTTCATAGTTTTCATGTCGACAAATAGGTTATTTGTATCCATAGACTCCAAAAATCGTTCATAAACGAAATAAGGAACTCATTCAAAATATGTTTTCAATGTACGTTTTTCTGCTTTTGAGATGTGATTCAAAAATTAATTTTGACATTATGTGTACGCAGACATGACAATTATCAATTCAACTTTTCTGATTATAATTTGGGCTTCGGGCAAAACATTCCTTAACACGATTTTTACAGATCATTCTATGCTTTGCTACAATACGCCTCATCTAAAAATAAAGAAAATTCAATTGAAATTGAATCCCTTCTTTACAAATCCTGTTATTGACTGAAAACTCCCGCTGATATTTAACCATTGGCATTTGCTGAGAAAGAAATTCATAATCGTAAGATGAAATACATTGTATTATTTGAACACAAAAAATATCCTTAACATGCGAGCATTAAGATCGCTATTATAAATACCATAATTGAATCTCTATCCGTGCTTGGAATAGAATGGGACTTAAAGAGATATAATGATCAAAATATATATGTGAAGGAAATCTAGTCTCACTTAAAACTAGACATGTTGTGTCTATAACAAGATGTGGATTTCCGATGCTTAAACCTTTTCAGTCACTATCCCCCCCCCCCTAATTTACAAACGATGGTTATCATTATTCTCAATGGCATTTTTGAAATCAAATCTGGGCGTCCACTCAGTTGTATATATGGTTAACTCATTTATTTCATTAGAGGTCTACCAGTTTAATCAATCAATACCCCGCTTTATATGATACAACGCAGATGTCTTCTTCAATGATCCGTCTTCAGAATTGTTTTCAAGACCAATATTTGTCTAACAATCATATCCCATTAAATACTCCAACACGCTAGAAAATTTAAAATCTAACAAGATAGTCTGTTGAAGTGCATGAGATCTAAACGAATTTATTTGCCGTATTAGAGCTTGTTACAGACAGCTAACCGAAGTAGATCGTATCGTATTTATAGATGGTGTGCGAGAGAATGACAGAGCCTATTTGTATGTGAATATAATCTAAAAAGATGGCGTATATGTTTATTTCGACTCAATGGATGCGGACTTGTTTTATACCAACGTTGACTGACTACGGATCTCACATTCCTCCGGTGCATTTTACTCGAATATTGAATGTTTAGTAGTAAAGCATCATAAGAGTTCATAAAAGCCGTTCATTTATTCAGATTTTCTTTCATTTTCAGATTATTTGGCACTAGTGGAACATGCAGCGCATGCGCACTCGCCATACCTGCCAGTGAATTCGTGATGCGTGCGCAGTCTAACGTTTATCACCTAAAGTGTTTCCAGTGTATCACGTGCCATAAACAACTTGTCATGGGTGATAGATTTGGTCTAGTGAACAACAATCTAGTGTGCGAACAAGACTATTCCAAATATACAAAAAGTGGCAGTTCATCAACAAACTCTAGGGGACAACACAAAATGACTGTAATGTAAAGAAATGACTTATTTTGTGACCCAAATTTGGGTAAAGGCGGAGCTCAAAAGTGGTTAGAAATCGGAGGTTACAAATATGTGATGCTTAAGTCACAAATCAATGGATTCAACTGATGTGCGTCAATAATAGTACAAATATGAATCACCGAACAAAGCTTTCATACAACAGCCGATTTGCAGACTTCAAACTCCAGGAAGAATTACGGAACTCGCCTATTTCTTTGTGATCTGAGGTGTTTTCTATTACGATTTATTGCAAAAATAAGTATGACAATAGCAGCAGTCCCTGGTCATTCCTTCCCTCGTCTAACTCTTTTATAGAAATAAAATGGGGTTGGGCAACACATAGGGTTTGATTGCTAGACGGAAAGTCAGGATTTGTAGACATTAATTCGGTCAACTGGACAAAAATCTTGTTTTTCTCACTTTCCAAATACCCTGCGTGCAGAGTCTAGTTAAACTAGACGAAGCTCTATTTTAAGAAGTGAAGTCAAACGAATGCAAAGGGATACCCCAAAATAAAGGACCATGCTATGTATGATCGACAAATAAAGAAATGGGAGTTCTTATATAATTATATGTGCAAGATCGACCATTATTGTTGAGCTTTGATAATTGTTCTTTATCGTGTTGAAAAACTTCAGCCTAACATTTTTTGAATGAACGTTTTCTGAGAAAAGTAGTAAGAACAATATGTAGCTAACGAAGTACAGAAAAATTCTTTTCCAAATTTTTATCTGCACTATACCAATAGCCATCCCATGGCTCACCGAAAGCACCATTTTTGATTTATACAGGGTGGTAAAAACGGAAACCCTTACGCCATTTTCCTCATATCTTTGTCATTAAGAAATAACTCCCTGATATTTTACACATTTGTACATCATTCAATTTCCTAACAGCCTACTATATTCATGACCATCAGTCACAATGTTACAGCACTAAAGAACATCCCCAGTGGCCACTTTTACGCTTTAAGCAAACCTGCACATATAGTCCAAAATGTCTCTACCCGTGGGTATATGGTAAAGATAGAGTGTATGAAAATGACCTCAGGACAATTGCAAACCTCAAAAGTGAGATCATCTGTGTCATTCAGGCCTTACCTGCTAAGGCATGCATTCGGGTCATTGACAACTGTGCAGGTTTGACTATTTCAGCCTGATAATGAAAAAACTTGAAGCATGTTGTCGAAGGTGCTGCACAATTGTGACTATCAGTCTGATGTTCATGAAATATGGTAGGGTGGTAGGAAAGCGACTGATGTATAAATGTGTGAAATATCAGAGAGTAATTCCCTAAAATAACAAAGATACGAGGAAAATGCAGGGTTTACATTTTTGACCACCCTGTACATGTACATGTACACTTTTTTTCTGTCAACTCTATTGGATGAATGAACATGTTGAGGGGTGTGTCAAATCGACAACTCGACGAGAGGTTGCTAAAGGATCGGCAAGGAATCACGGGAGCCAATCTTCCTGTCTAGTTACGAAGTTTTTGTTAATAACCTCCAGTGAATATAGAATATACAGTGAAAACAAATAAGTGTTAAAAATAGGGATTTTTCATGTAATTGAACATAGCTGAAACAGAATGTATTTTTGCTCAACATTTTATGTATTCTAAAATAGAATACCTTTATCTGAAGTACGTCAGCATACTTTTTGATCGTTTCGATTGTAAGTAGCGTTGATATCTGGCTCCAAAATTGTGAATTTCGGTGAAATTGCCAATGTAACAGGACAACACGCTTTTGAAAACATGTCATATCTCAATAATAAATGGTCGCATCTTTTAATTTTGGTTATGCTGGCATAGAGAACATTCATTCAGAGTGTGATGAGAGCACCGGATTTGATCTCCACTTATTACCGAATATATAGACTCAATAAAGTAAATGTAAAATTTATTCTGTGAAAATCGACATGGTCGTTAAAACACACCCACAGGGCATTAGGGGAATTCGAAAAATTGGGTTATATGTGGTTGACAAGTCCTTGATTCATTTTATCAGACCATCGTATTCCAAATCGTGATAATAATTGTGATTGAATTATAATGAGCATTATCTGAAAAATTCTGGAAATTCACCATTTTTCTTGTGAAAAACGACCAAGATGTAATTCAAACATGGGCAGCATTCTTGTGTAAAGATGGACACTATTCAAAAAAACATTGTATCCACTCTATTTCAACGAAAAGAGTTTACGAAATAACCAGTACGACCCAATCTATGAGCGGATATGGTGTGAAACTGTGACAATCGACATGCGTGAAAATCGACATGGTTATACCATTGAACTCAAAGCAGTAAATTAGTCATTTGTATAAATCACAGATGGATTAATTTGATTTTATATGATTACCAATACTCTGATAACACATTTATAACAGTTTTATGGTAATTTACGTATAACGATCAATTGTTAGACATTGAAAAGATAACAGCTAAAGAGTTTTCTCTTTGTTCAGCGTACATTTTCCATTTTATACGTCTTTACAAAAATACGTTACATGCAAGCAGATGTCAAGTTATTTGGAACTTCCATAAGCATAATTTACCGAAAAAAATTGCTACAAAAATCACTATGAAGACCATTATAGCCCAAAATGTGTCAACCTCTGTAAATAGTGTTTCGTTCAGTGCATTCCCGGGGATTGCTGACTGCAATCATAAAGTCTATTAACGTTTGGAATCAGTTTCCCTTTCAATGAATGCATCATTCTCAATGGTGAACAGCATAAACAGGCATCTCTAATTTGTAATATGAAAGATTTTATAGCTTTTCAATGATGTATATTTGCTTATCATTACTTTCTAATTTCATTATTACGATCTGATCTACTAGATACATTACGATCTGATGTGCAACTTCGGAATGCCCTCGTCAAACGTAATTCGTTGCAAATCAATGTCCGAGAATAAAAAAATCAAAAAATCAAGAGATGAGGTGCATAAGATTACGTTCCTCATTGAAAAATATCGCCAATCGAATTAACTAGCATTATAGAAACATAAAGCACAAGGTGCGCCATCGACGATAGAGGCAACAAAAGCGAGATGATTTTTCCCCTCTTCGAAAAATAAAACCGGGGGTAGACCACTAAAATATATAGACTTCAAGAGCTTCAAACAAAACATCAGAAGAAACAAATTTAATAGCGAAAGTTAATTGTAAGATGTGAAATCAGAAATCCGGAAAAGGGATCGAGTCTGACAAGAAAGAAATTTGTTTCTCTAAAGCGGAAATTATAGCGGCTAAAACAAAAATCTCAGAATGAAGAAAGCATAGTAATAAAAACACTTCCGGTGGTCATGGAAAAAAGTCTTGTTCTAGGAACTTGGACAGAGGGGGGGGGTTAATCGGCGAAGCGCTCCGCAGATAATGGTGTCAAGAGAAACGTCTCTACACCGGAGCAGATGATTTTTATGATTGAACTATACGTATACGCCAGCCTAACTGGACTCGACTCGACATCAATATCATATGTTTCAATTGATAACGTACACTCGAGTAGAATAAGGATCGGGTTCTTGATTTGAAATATGTTAAAGGGAAATTTCAGATCTAGAAATCTAGATAGACGCTGATTGCACTCCAATATTACGTAAATGGTTGTCCTGTTGTTGTGATACATGCAGGAAAAACGTCACTAGGAAGGGAAAATTACTCAAATTGTAAAAACAAGGCAAGGTACCAAACCTGGTATATGAGATAAAAGGGAAACATATACCAAGGGTGTCAAAAAATATTTTAACGACATGGCATCTGTCACCCAATTCTCATTCAATCTAAAAATGTAAACCCTTGTCTCATGAATCAGTGTAATGTTTTGGTAAAGCTGGTGTGAAAAGAATGTAGAAAAGATGTGTTCAGTGCATATAAACTTTGCGGACGTAATACGTACATGTCCTAAGTTTATTTTCTTTGACGATATTTTAGAATAAAATCTGAAAAACGACAGGATTCTCCAAATCATGTTTTACGTATGTCCTGTTTTGACGGGAAATTTTACATAAACGTGGTCATATTTGGATGCAAATACAAACTGGGTGTTTCTCAATTCAGCTAATTATATCCTACATATCAAAAATGTCGATTCGTGAAGTAAGCGTTCCCTAAAATGAACTTTCTAAATCACTGTCATTTGTTTCTAATTGTCTTGTGAAAATCGACATGCGGTTGAATAGTGAAATAGCGTAATGATCAATTCTTCCCAAATAAAACTGTTATCATTTTTTATCGTCTTTAGGATCATTTTTCATGATCGCATCGATTCACGTTTCAATAAAGTCGACCCTTTCAATTTTATTCAAATGAAAAACAAAGGGTAAGTAAAAAATCGAGAAAAATGATAGATTTTATTGGTTCATGTTGACAAGTGATGCACATCAAAAAGGAAAAGCTTGCAGTCCAAATCCATTTGCGATTTTAAAGGACAGTTAAAGTACCATGCGGAACTTTCTTGTTTTTTTGAAAATGTTGCATTCTAATTTGAATAGCTTGATATATTAATCAGGGGGTCAAGATGTGAAAATCGACATGTTTGAGACGGACCCTAATTTCAATTTGAAAATTCGCCTATTTTTCCTAGGAGTTTACTCCAATGCCTTGGGTAACGAATGTACAATTGTATACAGATATATACTATATGTCTATTTGAAAAAAACATTTTAGAATTTTTTTCACTTTTTAACAAAATTAATTTCACACTTAAGTGGTTTTGAGTGTATAATGGTTTTTATTTTTATTTCACTTTATAGAAATTGTGATGTGATGTATATTTGAAGAAAATTATGATGAATAAAATTTTGTTTTTGAAAAAAATGATGAAACTATAAAGATAATGTTATAAATTATTCTGATACCGAAGCATTTTCTTCCAGATCTTTATTTTGAGATTTAAAGAATCTTTAAGACTTCGAAGGAATTCGAGCACATTTAGAGTACAATATTTATATATTGTATATGTCACTGATTATATGATTAAACGAGTATTATGTCCTTCTAAGGACCAACCAAAACTGATCGGTTAACACGCAAAACTGACTAAAAGCGTCCGGATTAGGAGGTGTTCACATTTCGACGTTTTGCATTCGCGAGATTCTGCATTTTGTTAAAATGTGAACCCCAAAAATCTGATTCAAATGAATTCATTAGTCCGTCTGACATATTATGAGTGAAACCATTCAACAATTAAATGTTTTTCCAAATGTTTGAATATTATGATGAAACAGTGAAAATATTTTTAAAGCAGTTTTGTATGGCACGTTTGATATCTAATGAAAAGTGTTCATATCGTATAATTTTTCAAATGGGACGGTTCACTGCTCAAATTGGGAGGTGTTTACATTTCAAGGTTTCATGGGAGTCAATGTGAGAAAAAATGGGACCGAAAAAGTGTTCAGATTGGCTCGGTGTTCGGATTAGCCAGATGTTCGTATATACAGGTTGTACTGTAGTAGGCTCAAATAACACTGATCAATTAAAACGCTACTAAAATAATATAACATTTAAATCCCATTGTAGCCATCCAAAAATATTATAGTACAGTTAATATTTATTTCATGGTAAAACACATTATGTTAAATAAGTACATACAATCTCATTTATGGCAAAAAGTGCAGATTGTCAATATTGAGGATTGAAATAGACAGAGAGACAGTCTAAATTCAATTGTCTAAATTGTTTGGCTATTCTGTGAACATTGATGAGTATTTACGAGCTAATTCACTGTGATTGGTCTACAATTAGGCATGTTTTCTCCGATTAGTATAACTTTATTTGTCAAGCCAACCAAGTTAGTTCTGGTTAAGCCAGAGATGAATTAAGATGAGTTGAACTTGTCACAGGGATCTTCCCAAGAGCACAGAAGTCTCTTTGGGGAGAAGTAAAGCCTCTCAATTTTATTCTCTTTTTCGTTTTGCTCCGAGGGACAATTTTAGCCTCCATGGCCTGGAAACCCTAATACTGACCCAACTAAAAGAAAATAAATCTATATTATCATTATCTAATAAATTCTTTTAATGTTAAATCAACATAAATCTTAAATTAAATACGTGCCAGGATTGTTGCAGCAGTGGAGGATCTAACGGGACAGAGAGACATCATCAGGGATGCAGTATGTACGATGAGAATTAGGGCAGGCATCTGTGAATTGACTTGGCTGAAAGTGGCTCAAACCCATTTCTGACATGGTCACTTAAATCCCTCATTGCTCAGTCATCTGTGGAGGAAAATAGAACATCTTGTTACCATATGAAAGAGGACATAATTGCTGGAATAACACCATGCGTTTTAAAAAGGCGCCTTAGATTTTAACCCGTTTTGAAAAATCACTAAAAAACACGGACGTCAAGTAAGTTTATTTCCCGAATCTCACCTGAAATTAGCTCATCTTGGTGACTGTAACCTGTATATCTGTATTAATAGAGTCTCTTTGTATCGCATCTGCCTCAATTTTAAAGTTTTATTGGTATTTCTAATATGATTTCACTGTTTTTGTGGACTGGTACGATTGGGCCAAGCAAATGGCAGCTGACCTGTTCAAAGTACTTTTAGTACTAATTATCGCAAATGACAATAATTTTGGAAACAATATTATACTAAATAGATTACTAAGCATCTAAGGTAAGTAAGACTAGATGAACAACTGAGTCAATAGTGATAAATGGGCCAACACGAGTTGGCAGATTTGAAATAGACTGCCATCTTGTTTCCAGTCCTCTTTATAATCTATGCTCCAGCTACATTATTGTAGATGTACACATCTGCTGGATATTCTCCATATCTACATCGTTAAGTGCACGAAAGGCGTTTTAGAAATGACAGGTGTAATTCCAAAATAAAATTCCTAGGGCGCTTTAGAAATCTTGGTGTAATCAGGGTGGCGATTTTGTAAAGTGTAATTCCAGCAATTGATACATAGAAGTAGAAAATAACGCACCAACCTAAGTTTTCTGTTCCATCGTGGCCATTTTATTGGATAAATCAGTGAACGTAGTTCAAGTCCAACCTCGTTTTCAGAGGTGGCGTAACCGTCATGCTATAATAGCGTGCTTACTACAAACTGAGACTAACATTAAATTTTATGATGGTCTCAGCTACAAAGCACATGATGTAGTACTCTATGCTCAGTATGCTGTCCTATGTTTTGCCTTTAGTACTATACGATGAAATAATATGCTTTAGTGCATTCATTTGAGATGAAGCCCGACAGGAACACGTGAGGAAGAGTCAGGTTTTATTGAATGTCAAATACAGAATACAGAATATTGGAATAAGTGCATATCTTATTAATTTATATAGATGTCGCTTGTACAAACGGTAATGTTTTATTCGAGGACATCTTCAATATAAACATCAGGTAGCCAGCAAATGTCACGGGGTGCGATTTTTTGATTTGCATCACTATACGAGCGAAGCGATCCCAAAAGGGGGAGGGGGTACCCCCGGGTATCTTTTAAAATTGACATGTATATGTATCTAAGCACTTCAAACTATAATTTGTTAATGTTTTTTTCAACAAAATTTACAAAATTGATTTTTTGTGGCCATGCCAACGAACATTAACTTTTGGAACATAATCGAATCATTAAAACTTTCAAAACAGGCTCTAATAATATTGAAACTTTTGAAAATATTGAGACGCTTGATTTGAATCTATTTAGATCCCACATGAACCGGTTGATCTACCCTTTACTTCGTCTGACCTCGCTTCTTAAGAGAGATTCGTCTTCGTTCACAACGAGACTCTACACCCGGGGTAGGTTGATTGGAACCTGTATTGGCAAATACGTAGTATTGAAACTTTTGAACATATTTGGACGGGTGAGTTGATATTGGCCTGTAATATTGAACTTCTTTACTTAGATTTCCTAAATTTTCAATTTACTTAGTTTAAGTTTAGTTTAAAATAGTTTATTTAAGTGTCACACGTATACAATTTACACTAAAAAACAATTAAAATATACATACACATGTAGAGGTAAAAGAATAATATGTACACGTCCAGCCGTTGCCGACTTATGAGACACTGAATAAAATTTACAATAAAAATAATTTACGTCGTTTAAACATACAATATACTAGCTTTGCTAGCATGTAAACATTGCAATCACACATAATTAAACAATATTTTGCTAAATTTGTTGAATTTTCAAAAGAAGGATGCAATGATGACATGTAAGTGAAAACATCATATCTTAAATCATTATACAATGGACAATCTATTAGAAAGTGTATTTCATTTTCAACTTCCTGCATATCACACATTAAACAAATTCTGTCATGAAGGTCTAATTTGGGATTATATCTTCCAGTTTCTACCCTCAGAGGTAATACACCACACCTAAGTTTTGCCAGAGCTTGTCTGTAAATCCTAGGTAAATACATCTCAACATATTCCTCGGTATGAAAACGAGATTTATGGAGTCTATAACTTCTAAGTTTATTACCATTTTCTTTGTTTTTATTGTCATTCCATAAGTTTATATGCCAATCAATTTGATGTTTATCGATAAGTTTCTTTTGAAAACTTTTAATCTTGGCCTTAGAACCATGGATTTGTGTACATTCTTTATCAGTGAAATCTGTTAAGCCATTTTGATCAAAAATCTTAATGACCTGGTATTCCCAGGATTTTCTTACATTTTTGGACCAAGTAAATATCTTTTTAGTAACACGGCAATTATTCATATTTGTAAGTCTACACCACTGACGAAAGGTTTCCTTAAGTTGAACGCTATAAAATGAAGGCCATCCAATATCGCCATTTACAGCATCATTTGGTGTGTACTTTCCAACACCTAGGAAGAAACGGGCTGCCTTATTTTGAACATTATTTAGCAGTCCACGTGGTTTATCTCCCCAAATACCAGATCCATATGTCATAATTGGTAAAACAAGTGAATTATAAAGTTTTGTGAAAACATCAAAGGTAAAACCTCCCTTATGGTAAAATTTAGCAATAATGACTCCAAGAGCTCTGCTAGCAGAGGCTGCTAATGTTTCAATTGCCTTTTTAAAAGTAAGGTTACTACTTACACTTTTAAATGATTTAAACATTTAGAACCTCATAAACTGTTGAAACATTGATTTTACCTAAATAAATATGTATACTAGTATGTAAAACATTGCGTTTGCAGTCTAATAGATAAAACAAGAATAAAAAGAGCGGTATAACCAATCTGTTAATTAATAGCTAAATCATTAAATCAGTTGTAGATTTTTCGTATGCGATATCTTACCTTTAAATGGGTAAATATTTGTAAAATTGTTTTACATCGTTAATCGGAGGAAGAGATTTATAAACGGAACAAAAATGTATATGAATATAAACACACGTGACTGTGACAAATACGTTTCTGAATGATGAGCTAAGTGAGATGATATTTTTTGAACATAGACAATACCACATGTCATGTTTTGTGATCTATAGCTCATGAATGTAAAATTAAACGTATATTCGCATGGAACCTGTTTATGTGTTGTAGTTAGACATCACTTTCACTCAATGATCAAAATTGCCTGAGGTATAACTTTGTACCGTTGGACCAAATTAATTAAATTCAGATAATTCAATCAAGGAATATTAAACACTATTTAGTTTGATTACTATATTCATCTCGTACCCGTTATGAAAAGTAGATACTCATGGATAGAACATAAGTTCGTATCTGTACTTAATAATCGCACAGGATTGGTAACGTAGGTGTTAGAACTCCACAATACAAACAATGAGGATCTTTCATTTCCAGCGTTTTCTCAGTATTATTTATGGAATACTGAAATATATGGCATTTGGAATTGCTATATACAGTTTATACTACTCAACCAATCCCAACCAAATCACCACTGAACCAGTAGATCGTGTGCGTCGTGTTACAAAGCGTATCGACTCTGAACATCAGTCGAACAGGCAACATTTTAAATCAGGTTTTGAACACGATGCTTCGCGTGGAGAGTCGTATGCCATTGAAACAATTCAAAACAATAAAACTTCGGTGCAGGACAATTTAGCTCGGAAAACCCTAGAAGTTGTCATTGTTACTGCCGCCAGCGCCAGGTACTTTTACGCACTAAAAAACTTCGTAGGTTCCGTCCATTACTGGGAGAGAAAAAGACGGATTGCCGTATTTAACATTGGTCTAACACAAGCTCAGGTTGAGCAAATCAAATACTGGTGCAATGTCGACATACACTGGGAATGGGGGATACCAAGAAGCAAGAGAATGGCGTCAAAGGATCCATGGGAATTTAACTGGAAACCTTTTGTATTAACCGAGGCAATAGATACATACTCTGCAATACTTTACAGTGACGCTGGTTCAGATGTACGTGCTCCATTGGATTCAATAGACAACATTCTCTTGAATGATAAATACTTCTTCGTCAATGGACAAGATCTTGACATGACTTCATTAGGGCATGAGGAAACGTTCAGATATTTTGGTAAGAATAAATCACAAAGTATATTCAAAAATAAACCAAGTTACGCTGGAGGTTTGCAGGGTTACGTTAAATCTTACAAAATAGACAATCTCATCATAAAACCGTTGTTAGAATGCGCTAGATCTACACGCTGCATGAGTCCTAAAGGATCCAGTAGTATAAACCACAGATACGATCAGACAGCACTTTCAATTATTCTTTATTCTTCGGGACTACAGATAACGGCACACACTGAATTTATCACAACCTCAAAACAAGACTTAAATCCAGACCCCCTCAGGAAAAGTGAATACACCATTTACACCGGAAGGAAAACAAGTAATGACTTTATTGGTAAACTGTGCTTCAAACAACCCAAAATGGTACCATTTACCATGAAAAAGAACCATAAAACGAACCATCAATTATCGAATCATTACACATCAACACAAGTTTTGATGAATAAGCACAATTCAAATGAGATTGACATCCAAGGAGATTCAGAACGCATTCAGACAACTAATGCTCCAAAAGGAAAGTGGATAAACCATAGTGTGTTTCTACGAGCTAAACAAATTGCAGCAATGTCAGTTCGAAAACCTTAGTGCCGTACTCTTTAGGAAATTACGATGTGAATAGTGTTCAGCAAAAGTGTGAAAAGACGATTTTTTTTATTTCTGTTTCATCCATTTAAAAATTACATTTACAATGCTTGGATTTTGCAACATTATCGGCAATTTTAAAGATGAACAACATTGAAATCACACGAAATACAATAGAAAATGTTGAAATGAGGAATCTGTTAAAAGCTTGCCGGGGGGGGAGGGGGGGGGCAAAGCATGTTAGCCAAAAAGTGAATGGTTAATATTGAATTATAACATTCACACCCCGAAAAATATACTGGCTATAACTTCTATCAACTGTTCATTCTCCAATTTAGTGAATCAACTATATCCAAATAATAAATATTGATCTCTTCCTTCTGGATTGAGGTTTTGGAAGAAATCAAATAGCATTTTGATACAAAATTAAACCTTTTTGAATATTCTTTCATTCTAGCATTCCATGTTATTGGTCTATTTCCAATGGTTACATTTTATGACCATTTTGCAAATCATGCTCCAAATGCCAAAACATAACGAAATTACCCAATATGAACCCCCAGTATTTTACCTCTGGGACTATTTCAAAGTTTACAACCCTAGAAGCACCAGAGAATTGTCATATCCGTTGTTCCCTCTTCAAAAGAGGAGACGCGAAAGATTTTCCTTATAAGGTCAAAATATTTCCCATGATGCAGTTCGCAGAGGAACAAATTCATACTTCCTTGTTTAGCCCCATAGGTTTAACAAAGAGGGGGAGAAATCCCAGGGTTCAAAGATGACATACGCTCATAATGTAAATCTGTATTGAGATGACATCGTCGCTGATTGGTTTAGCGTTTCGATCGTTGATTGGTTTAAAACTAGGTCAATTTGAAAACTTTGAAAACCAAGATGGAGGGAAGTATAAATATACGTACTTCCGGGAAAGGAGGTGCGCGAAGGAGGAAATCGTATGTCATCAATTGAATCATGGGGTTTCCCCTCCTCTTGGTTTAACATGGGGATTTTCACAACTATTTTCAATCGATATATTCGTTCATATTCCCGTAGGGGAGTACAGAAAAATATAAGAAACGATTGATCTCCAATATCTAAATATAACAGATATTTGTTTTCATTGTTTTGATTCGCGTGGTGAAAACGATGATTGAAAAGTGAGAAAATATTCCGGAATAAAATGTCACGTGATCAGTTGACTAGTCATATATTGGAGAAAATAATTTCATTCGACTTTCAACATTGAAGTACACATCATACTTATGTCCGATCATAAGTTTGAATAATAGTTGGGTTTCAAATATTAATTGTATGACTTATACGAGACCAATGTTAATGCCTAGGTCACATATACGCCGGGCGCCGGCCGATGAGTAGTCATCAGCCGATTTCTAAATAGACCGGGCGCCGGTGACTTTTCCGCGATGTCTTGATTTCGCCATGAGTATGGTCACATTAGTACAGGCATCGTAATGCGCCCGCAAACAACTAAATCCATAGGATATCGCAAGGGTATATCGCAAGGCTATCTGCCGATGACCGTACGGCACCCGCCAGGACATCGGTCGATCTTCAGGACACCAGGGAGCCTCTACAGTTGTGCATATATTCATAAAAAAGTTTCTTTCATTTCAGTTTCCAAAATTTATAAGGACTAATAAGGACGAAAAGATCCCACCCACACAACGACCTCAATGTGTTATTGTTTAACAATTATATTTCGTTATACAATTCGTTCAAAGTTCTGTACAATTATATTTCCTCAACTTATCATATTTAAAATGTTTATAAATATAATATTAGTAATCATAATTGAGAATTATCGAACAAATCAGTGTGTAAAGTTAAATAAAATCACTCTAGATGAACTTACAATGCCACCGGGAGTCGTAAGATAACCGTACGGGACACGGTCGAGTAGGTACCGATGAGTTTGGTTGAGAAAAAATCGCCAACACATCGGCAACTTTTATCTCCGCGATAAAACGCTGCCGGCGCCCGGGCGATGTCTAAAAATCGGCCGATGGTGCTCGATCATCGCCCGGCGCCCGTACGATGCCCGGGCTCGCCGGCCGATTTTGAACAAAATACTCATCGGCCGGGCGCCGTTGTGAAAGTCGGAGCCTATGTGACCAAGGCATAATGCTACTAGGGGGGAATCGGACCTACATGCCTAATGCCTTGGTCACATAGGCTCCGATTTTTACCACGGCGCCCGGCCGATGAGTATTTTGTTCAAAATCGACCGGCGAGCCCGGGCATCGTACGGGCGCCGGGCGATGATCGCCACTCATCGGCCGATTTTTAGACATCGTACGGGCGCCGGCAGAGTTTTATCGCGGAGATAAAAGTTGCCGATGTCTTGGCGATTTTTTCTCAACCAAACTCATCGCTACCTACCCGGCCGTGCCCCGTCCGGTCATCGTACGATTATCTTACGGCGCCCGGTGGCATCGCACGGTCATTTTGGGATTTTGCGTGCTGATTTGTTTGATAAATCTTAATAATGATTACGTATAAAGTGATATAAAGGTTTTAAAAATAATGAGGTGAGGAGTTATAATTACTACACACTGTCAGAGATTTTTTATAAAACATAAATGGAACGATTAGGCTTACTGTAAAACAATGACACACATTTGAATGGCTGAGTGGGTGGGTTGATCTAGTCGTTCTTATATTGACATTAATCGTGTATGCCTGTCATACACATTGAATAGGGTGATACATTTTTATGCGTATATTCACTCATGCTTATACCGTTACAAATCATTGTATATTTAAAAAATCTTCTGAATGTTTTTGTGAGTACAGTATTTTCAAGGGTCACAATTTTAATACGAAAGTTCACTGTCTCAATTACAGTTAAGGTGCTATGGAACTTAACAGGAAATGACAAAACAGGAAGTGACAATTTTTTTGCATTTTTAGACATTTTTTGAACAAAGATAACAGAGTTTTGTTTTGACCTCCAGTCAATTCAACTAGTTCCAAATACCATTTACAGGTCCAGGATCACAATGTTCATGGTCAGAATGACCCTAAACATGATGAAATAATGTTTTCAGCCCTATGAAAATGTGACTGAAAAATAGCTAAAAGTAGGAGGGTAGGAAAGGTCACTGAACAGAATCTTTTGAATTTTTCAGAAAATGTGCCCAATATATTGCTCTAAATGATACAATCTTTGAAAATTTGATATCATTCACGGAAAAAGAAAAAAAAGAAAAAAACTGATTTTAAAAGCGATTTATTTTCCTTTTTATGACTGTCATTTTTGTTTAAGACAATTTTCTAAAATTTCAAAGATTGTATCAGTTGGAGCATTATATTGGGCACATTTTCTGAAAAATTCAAAAGATTCTGTTCAGTGACCTTCCCTCGCTCCTACTTTTAGCTTTTTTTTCAGTCACACTTTCAAAGGGCTAAAAAGGTTATTTCATCATGTTTAGGGTCATTCTGACCCTGCACATTGTGATCCTGGACCTGTAAATGGTATTTGGAAATAGTTGAATCGACTGGAGGTCAAAACACAACTCTGTTATCTTTGTTCAAAAAATGTCTAAAAATGCAAAAAAAATTGTCACTTCCTGTTTTGTCATTTCCTGTTAACTTCCATAGCACCTTAATATGCCAAAGGCTAAGGATAGAGGGGATAAGGCCAATGGGCCATATATGTGGAAAAAGACAATAACAATGCCAGTGAGCTGGTGGATGATGAAGATTTAGATGTGTCTAGGGAATAGGGTATTCCACATGAAATAGAAGAAAAAATTGCCAAGTTCTTTGAAGTCTCTTTACGAGAACAGACAAAAGAAAGATGCAGAAATATGGAATTTTGCTAATAGCATCGGATGGACAGTTAGACATTAGTATTTGTTTATATGAAAGATCTAAAAATGAATTAAGGTCAGGGTGCACTTTGATGAAAAGACCACGTGCAGTATGGCAAGTGATTTTAGACATATCTTTCACCATGAGTACTTTCTGGGCATAAATACAACTTGTTTTTATTAAAATAATATGTTTTCTTTCAATTGAGGTACCCATGATAGTAAAAATATCAATCACACAATTTGAAAAATTATGATTCTAAATATTGAACCTATTTACTCAAAAGAGGATCTTCTTTTTCTGAATTTTATTGCATGAAGACATTATTATCCTGGAAGTCCTGTCTATCGAAGTATTTTGTTTTCAAATCTTGCATTCACGCCATGTGGAACAGTCATACTGGGTCATACAAAAATTTAGTATAAATCTAGAGGCCTGTAGATCGACCGATGTCCCGGCGGGTGCCGTACGACCATCGGCAGATAACCTTGCGATACCCGTGCGATGTCTTTCAGATTCAATTGATTGCGGGCGCCGTACGATGCCTGTACTAATGTGACCATACTCACGATTAGATCAAGACATCGGTGAAAAGTCACCGGCGCCCGGTCGATTTAGAAATCGGCCGATGACTACTCATCTGCCGGTGCCCGGTGGCTATGTGACACAGGCATTACTTTTTATACATGTTTTTCTGTTTTGAAAAATTAAATATGAGATGTATTTTTTAGTTTAATTTTACATCGTCATTTCAATCACCGTCGTCATTTTTCGAACGAGTTACCTTGAAATATCAAAACGGCATGCTATTCTTATACTCACATAATTTAATATGACTGGCATTCATCATTTATTAAGGATGCAGTACCGGGTCGGTTTTCACGTCTGTTTGCGCAGGTTTTACTTCCGGTTTGAGAAAGCTAGCTCCCAAGAACCTCATTTTCGCATTTAGTCTTATTCAAAAATTATAGTTTATTTCGATAATGGTGTTTCCAGAAAAGAATTAAATTGCAAACATTTTATCAAGCATATTTTATCCCTTTCACTTTTATGGGAAAACTTGTTCTTGAGTCGCAATTAGTGGATACGAAAACCAGGGTTCGAAAGGTGCCAGCTCTATTGAAAACTCAAAAAAGTAAAAAGATTCATTTTGGGTAGGTAAAATAATTTTTATTTTGTAATTACCAGACGGTCAATCCTCTTCATATTGCACTTGGATGATGATAACATCATAGTGATACATTGTAACAAATATGAGCAAAATCTAATGTCTGGAACTTTCTCTACGCTGACCTGGTACTGCATCCTTAAGCAGTAAAAAATTAATTTGCATCATGCGAACATGGTGACAAAATGTTTCTACTTTCCCGGTGAATGTGGAGTCTCTCATCATACGAATGTAATTTTAGGCGATCTGTCTGCATGGGGTGAGATAATATTTTTGCCAGTTCATGAAGTTACAAGCGCATTGCTTCATTGGAAAGCTATATCAAATCGTATCATAGAGGTGTGCGCAAGCGGAGTTGTACGATCGTATCATTCGTATCGTAAGTTATTGTTATTGTCTTATTAACCACTGGTTCTCACCTGTAACGCTGACGATACGTCAGCGTAACAAGATGGAAGAACTTCCGGGGTTCGTTTTCGGTA